TGCAACGGTCTTCCGATCTGTTATGTTGGACATTAGAAACGGAAAGCCGTCGGGATTACATTCTATTCAATTCCATGTTTCCCCCCGTTCAAACGGACATCAAAGAGAAGATGAGGAGGGAGAAAAAAAAAAATTAGTTCTCTTAAAAAACCTCCGATTTGTCCACTTGACCTTGTTCGCTCGTCGGAAGGATTTTTCCACACACACATGGTCAGTTTCCAGAAAACTTTTCCTGGGGCCACTTTTTTTTTATTTTCATTTTCTTTGGTGCTCAAAACCTTGGTTGTTTTGGACACGTGCCAATTTTAATGAGTGATAAAAATTGACGTTTTTCGTTGTTTTTCGTGTCTATCAAACTTTGATTTTTGATTTGGACCTTCTTTCTAAAAAGGTCACTTTGATGGTGTTACTTTCTACATTCTAGGCCATGCGAGAAAATTCTTTTGAATCAAAACTCTTAAATGACCACTTCAATTTTTCTTTTCAAAGAGCCAATCCTAGTCGGTTCCACATTTGAAAGACCTCTTGAAGCCCAAATCCCTCAAGTTTTCACTCAGATACTCCTGAGTAGTTCCGCTTTCAGAGAAGTGAATGAATCATTATCAACCTCTCAAAAAACGTAATCCTTAAGTGACCACTGAAAATTTTCTCATCGAAAATCCATTTAGATCTCAAATCCCTTAAGTCGCCACTTAAAGTTCTCTGAGTATCGCTTCCGAAAAAGAGAATGAATCATTCGCTACCTAAGGGGCCACTCCGAAGTCGCACTTCTTAAGTGACCATTCAAATCTTCCTTCTTAAATCGCGATTTCATTTGAAGCTAAGATCCCTCAAGTTCCCACTCGAATTCTCCTGAATAGTGTTCCTTTTAAAGAAGAAAATGAATCATTCGCCACCTAAGGAGCCACACCGAAGTCACACTTCTTAAGTGACCACTCTATTCTTCCTTTTCAAAAGACGACTCAAAATTTTCTTCTCAAATCCCTTAAAGCGCCACTTTTCGGAGCACACCTTTCGAAAAAGATAATGAATCATTTGCCACTTAAGAAGCCACTCCTCAAGTGACCACTTTATATTTTCCCCTTAGAAGTCTCTCTAGTAGAATCTCAATTCCCTTAAGTTATCACTCGAATTCTCCCGAGTAGTTCCGCTCCCAGAAAAGAGAATGAATGATTCGCCACTTAAGGAGCTACTCAGAAATTCTAGAGTGACCACTTCACCTTAGAAGTTTCTCTACTAAAAGCTCAAATCCCTCAAGTCACCACTCCAATTTCTCTGAGTACGGCTTTCAAAAAAAAATTATTAATTCGCTACTTAAGGAGTCACTCCAAAGTCCTCAAGTGACCACTTCACCTTGAAAAGTCTCTTTTAGGGACCGCAGACGAATTTTCAAAAATTTTTTTTCAGTGTTGAGCTTTGTATGGTTTGATAGCTGTTTCGATTCAAAACTCAGAACCGTTTAGTTTTTCAAAAAAGATTGAGGATGAAAAAAGTTATGACGGAAAATGTGGCGCGCCGCGCACCATTTTTTTAGTACTGAAATTTTGGTATTATCCATTATTGACATTTTTCTCGATTTTTCTTCTAGAACAAGTTTTGATACTGGTCTATTATGATGTAACAAATCATAATAGAGTGCTAAAATGATGAATATTTGCTAGTTTGCCGAAAAAAAGTCAGTATTTTTCCAGTAAAAACTGACGCTTGCGGGTATCGAACTCGCAACCTCAAAATGAAAAAAATCGCAGCGCACGCGCTGCGCCAAGCTCTCAGGTCTAGCGAGGGAAGCTTCCATCCGCCATACCCTTGAGCTGTTTGAATAGCACAGATTGCCTATTTCAAAAAAATAAAAAAACTTGAAATAATTTAGCTATTTTTTTATCAGAATATGTTCGCAAATCTTTACTCAAACTTTCCGTGAAAATTCACTTCGAAAAAAACTGTCTTTTTTAGTGCTTTTTTTGCCTCGTTTTACGATCCCTGCATTAAAACGGCCCCGTAAATTTTTGGCAAAGACGAATTTTTTATTTTATTCTTTTAATTGAAAGATTTTTTTCACTAATAAATGCATATAATCGTTTAAAAAACCTGCGTTCGACCGCTTTCTGTGTGATAAACGCCGCTAATTTTGTTCTCTAGTTTCAAAAGCATTTTTGCGTATTAAACAACTTTTTCAAGCACATATGCTGTGGAGAAAAAAATTTAAGTAAGCCCATGGTCTAAATTTTGAAAAAAACAAAAAAACTCGATTATATTCGCTTATTAACGATATTTTTGAATTATGACTTTCGGCACTCCCTAAAAATTTTTTTGGCAAAGACGAATTTTTTTATTTTATCGTTTTAAAATTACCGTTACTTGAATCAAAAATCATTATTTAAAAAAAGAAAGAGTGCGTTCGACCTAAAAACACATGAAAAAGCAAAAAATGACAAAATTTTTTAGTTCCATTCACGTTTTTGTACGACATTCCGCGAGAACGCATCAAAAAAGCGTGAAATATTTTTTAAACGAAAGAGGAAGCTTTTCTGTACATGTGTGTCAAATTTTATTAGCCAGTTCCCCATATTTTGCAACTACAACAAAATGAAACTTGAAAACCAAAAAAAGGCCACTTTTTCTATCGCGAAAAGGGGCGTGGCTTTGCGGTCCCTAGTCTCTTTACTACACTCTCGATCCCTTAAGTTACCACTCAAGTTCTCCCGAGTAGTGCCGCTCCCAGAAAAGAGAATGAATTATTTGCCACTTAGGGAGCTACTCAGAAATTCTAGAGTGACCACTTCACCTTAGAAGTCTCTCTACTAGAATCTCAATTCCCTAAAGTCACCACTCGAGTTCTCCCGAGCTCCCAGAAAAGAGAATGAATAATTCGCTACTTAAGGGGCCACTTCAAAGTCGCATGTCTTAAGCGACCACTCCAAATTTCCCTTTAAAGAAGGCCCTCTACTGAAAGCTCAATTCCCTCAAGTCGCCACTCCAAAAGAGAAAAACAACGATGCTTTTGGGGTGGGTCTCAATTTGTGTCCATTCAACTGGAAGTTTTGGGTAGGCGTGGCGATTCCGAAATCTTCTTAAGCTTCCGGCAGCGGCTGGAACTCAGTTTTTAACATTTTTTCCAGGTTTATAGTTTAAAAATACATCCAAAGCTTATGGCTCTCTAATCGTCACCTTTCGGGCCAGAGGATTTGAAGCCATTGGGAGCAGGAAATGTGCTCATTTCCCCGTCCCCTTTCCTCCCATTCAAACCTCCAATTCTTCTCCCTTGATTATAGTTATCAAATGGGATAAGACTTTTCGGGTGAAAAGTTCATTTTTCTCAGAAATGGTGCCATTTTTTGTGGTGTCTATTTGTAGGTGAGTGAGAAGTTCATTTTCTCGGAATTTGCTCGGTTTTTCGTATTTCGATTTAAAAAAAAAAAGAGGGTGGATTTGATTTTTTTATAACGTTTTTTGAATAATATTGAGTTTTCTTAGAATTTGGGCAATATTTTGAGTTTTTCATTGCATGATATCTTTTGAAAATTTGATTTTATATCTTTTCTGAATTTCTCAAAATTCCAAAAATAGTCTAATCACGATGAAGATGCGCTCTAACGAACTCCATCCCTGATAGTCCAGTCACGCTTTTTCTATGATAGTCCAGTCACCGTGAATTTACCAAATCTGGAAAGTTTGCTCTAATTGGCTAGCCACGCCTCTAATTTATGCATATTCCAACTTTTGATAGATTTTTGAGTACAGTCTGTTTACTGCGAATTTAAAAATTCTGGAAAGTACGCTCTATCGCACTCTGTCTCTAATTGGCTGGCTTGCACTAAAAAAAAATCGAAAAATTGCGAATTTTTTGGCGCTTTTTTGAGTATAGTCTGTTTACTGCGAATTTGAAAATTATGGAAAGTACGCCCTATCGCACTCTGTCTCTGATTGGCTGACTTGGACTGGAGAAAATAAAAAAATCCGAATTTTTCCGCTTTTTTTCGAATATAGTCCAGTGACCGTGAATTTATCAAATCTTCCAAGTTCGCTCTAACGAAAGAACAACCGCTTATTGGCTAGCCACGCCTCTAAATTATCGATATACCAAATTTTGATAGATTTTTGAGTACAGTCTGTTTACTGCGAATTTAAAAATTCTGGAAAGTACGCTCTATCGCACTCTGTCTCTGATTGACTGTTTTGGACTGGAGAAAATCAAAAAATCTGAATTTTTCGACGCTTTTTCGAATATAGTCTATTCAACGGGGTTCTCGCCAGTGCGTAGTTTCATCCTTTTTCAAGCGGAATTTCAATGAATAAAAAAATGTATCTTCATCTTAACTGATTATCCGTCAAAATCAGTCATTCCTCGAATTTTTTTCTTCGAGTATTTTTGTTGACGAGGGGGCAAAAGCTCAAATATTGGCCTCGGCGTTTTTTTGCTGGAGGTTTTTCGAAGCTAACCCGAGTGTCAATAATGAACACGTTCCTTTCTTTCTTTCGCCATTTTTCTTTTCTTTTCTTTTTGTTTGAAATATCACTTGGCTTTTTTTCGTGTTCTGTGGCTTATTGAATTTGCGAAAGCAGGTGGTAAATGGGCGTCAGAAAAAGAATGAAATCTTGTTTACTTCTAGTTTTTTTTTTCATTCTCGCCTCCGATTTATCACTTTGGCACTCATTATTTTGCTTAATTGATAACTAGAAAAGTACTCTGAAGTGACCACTTGATAAAAAAATCGTTTTGAAGCGCTTTAAAAATTTTTATTTCGTTCTTTTTGGTTTAAGTCTTGATTAAGTTATCCCTCAAGTATCACCTCTTAAGTGATCACTTCAAAATGGACGTTCTTCCCTATTTCTATTTAAAACTGAATTTTGAATGCTTTACAAGTTGGACCATAAAAAATTTATTAAAAATCGAAATTTCCTCAACTTCTTACACACAATTGTTACTAGCAAACTTCAAAAAACACGATTTTTCGCCCGTTTTTCCTAAATTTTTCTGTTAAAATCCAGAATTCCCACAGATGACAGTGGCGACGACGACGTCACCCCCGGCTTCCGGTCCAGAAGACGTCGAGAAGCCGTCGATCCTACAGAGACTGTGCTGTTGCGGCGGCAGCACTTCGAAAGAACCGCCCGTTCAGCTCATCCGCAGTTCGTTTTTTTATAAACGTACGGTGTTTTCTGTTCTTTCAGTTCGTTCTGTTTCTCAGTTATGGCTTGGGGACAGTTCGGAAGGTCTTAAAACTCTAGAAAAGGGTACGAAAAGTCTGGAACATTAAAAAAATGTAAAAATTGAGGCAGAGACACAAAAAAGCTACTAAAAGATGTCTAATCCTGGACATACACTATTCGGACAATTTTGAGTGGTAACTAGAGGGGTTAGAGCTTCTAGTGGTCACTCAGGGGGTCAACTCGCTTCGAATGACTCTAGAAAAGTGAAAAAATTGAAGTGGTCACTTAAGTAGTCCGATTTTGAAAAAATCAATCATTTTCCACGTACAACTGGATTATAAAGAGGCCATCTAGAGATCTCTTTTTTATTATTTAGTCTTAAAACCTAAAATTACCTTTTAAGTTCTTATTATAATCTTTCTAAGCTGGAAAATCGGTAAAAAATCACTCTAATGATCACTAGGGCCTTTCTTTATAACTTCTGAATATTTTTAGGTACTTCTTCTAGTTTCTATAGATGGTTTGAATTTCTTAGAAGTTCCTGAAAAATCAGAACGCTTCTCAAGAGGTCCCTTAAAGGATTATCAACCTCTATTTTGAACTATGCCTTTTTCGAACTTTTTCCGAGCTTTTTTCGCTCCTTTTCTGTTTTTTCTACGAGGAAGATCTTCCGACGGTTCTCCCATTTTTTATTGCATGTCTATATATTTTTTTTTTCTATTCCTTCTTCATTTTTCTGATAGATCCAAGAAAAAACTGGTCTTTAGGCGGATCTCTCACACAGCCAACAAGTGCACTAGCCAATGGGATTGCGGCGGCCAGAGAATCGATCGAGGGATTCGATGAGATCAATCTCGGGTTGGTTTTGGAATGGTTCGAAAAGTGTTAAAGTTCAAAAAATGAAGAAAATTGGTGCATTTTGTGGTTGCGGACAAGACGCTTCATTTTACGCGCAAATTAGTTTTTTTTCTCAAGTTTACATAGAAACTGCAGCTAGGCCGAAAAAAAAAAATTTAAAAGGCTTACGGCTAAATTTTTGAAAATTTTGGTTTTCGCTAGGGCACGAGAAATTGATGTAAAAGCATCATTCGGTTGATACGGACAAAACAGTTTATTTGACACGCATTTTTCGAAAGTTTATCAAAAGTATGCCTGGCAGGGTGTTTTGCAAAAAACTAACCTTTCAAGATATTTTTTTTCCGCTATGCCACGAAAAATTGATGTAAAAGCATCATTTGGTTAATACGGACAAAACAGCTGATTTGACGCGCATTTTTTGAAAATTCATCAAAAGTAGGTTTGGCAGGGCGTTTTGCGAAAAAATTAAAATTTTAAATTGCTTTCTTTCCGCTATACCACGAAAAATTGATGTTAAAGCATCATTCGGTTATTACGGACAAAACAGCTGATTTGACGCGCATTTTTCAAATATTTATCAGAAGCAGGTTTGGAAGGGTAGTTTGCAAAAGTTCAACTTTCAAGACAAATCTTCTTGCGGAATATACATTTTAATTGACGAGCAATTTTCATTTTTCACATCGAATTGGATCAACTAAGACATTTCTTTTTCAAAAATTTGTTGAAATCATCATTTGAAGTCTGCGGACCAAACACTTCGATACGAATTTTCCGAAATGGATGAAATTTCAATAAACACTTTGAATAGCCTTCTCAAGTAAGCAGTTTTCAAAATTTCTGCCAAAGTCGAAAATTTGTAGTTTCTACGAGATTTTCCACTAAAAGTCACATAATCTACCAACAAACAAAAGGATCAAGCTCGTTTTTTTCTGTTCGCTGTCCTTTTTGCCAAAAGTCGTTTGATAAATAAGCCGGACGCACTGGTTTTGAGTGGATCGTTGCGGTTTTGTTGACAAAACTCTTGGAAAAGCCTTGGGAAGAGGGGGGCAAAAAGTATTTTGTGATGTGAGGAAGTGAGTCATTTGCTTATTTGTTTGATGAAAGAAAGGTATGATCCTCCTGATCACTGGAGAAAACTTTCAAAGCAAAGGAGCTACTCACAAAAATGGCCATCCTGCGAAAAAAAAAATCCAAAAAAATAGAACTTCAGCTTTTACATAAGAAGTTTATCAGGCCAGAGAAAAGACATCAGCTCTAAAATATTATAAAGCGAAAACCGTTTCAAGTCGGTTGCAACGGAAACATGTCTCCAGACGAGCTATCCTACGTTCTAAAATTCAAAAAAAAGCTGTTTTTTTACGGGCGGGCGCAAGTCGTTTCTAGTCGGGCGCAACTCTGCGTGTGCCAAATCTGACCACAAAATCCTTATAGACAACTTTCCTTCTTCTTATTCCCGACTAAAAATAAAACCTATTCGTTTTTCAGAAACTGATCCATGATGAATTATGTTTTCCAATCTGTTTCCCACCTTTCACGAAAAAGGCCGCACTTGGAATGGCTTAGATGCACATTAATTGCATCTAATGGATTAAAATGCCATCGTGCGCAAGTCGTTCCCAGTCGGGCGCACTGAACAAAACTTTGCGTACGAAAAGTCCGAATGAACAACTTTCCTTCTTTCCATTTCCGACTAAAAATAAAACCTATTTGTTTCTCAGAAACTGATCCATGTCAAGCTTTGTTTTCCAAGCTGTTTCTCATTTTTCACGATGAAGGCCGCATTTGGAATGGCTAAGATGCACATCAATTGCTTCTAGTGGATTAAAATGTCATCGCGCGCAAGTCGTTTCCAGTCGGGCGCAATGAACGCAACTTTTCTTTTTTCCATTCCCGACCAAAAAAAAACCTATTCGTTTTTCAGAAACTGATCCATGTTAAATTCTGTTTTCGAACTCTAAAAGTTCACCAAAAAGGGGAAAATATTTGACACACAATCCGACAAATTGGCTGACTCATCATTCAACATTTGGAAGCGAATTTTGTTGTCGAAAATCGGCCTCCGCTACCGAAACATTCCGCTTCGATTGCTCCCATCTTCTTGTTTTCCACCAACCTTTTCCTAAGAACTCGGCTTTAATCAAAACATGTTTTGCTAAGACGTAAAGGTTATGTTTGGTACCAATCGGTACTAATTGAACTTTGCAAACTGAATAACAAATTACTCATAGGTCATGAGTTTGGAGATGATCGAGGAAGTAGATTTTCAGAAGAGTTATTGGAAGTAATGGTCGCACTTGGAATGGATGATGTGCTATCGAGCTTTTCGAAGTCTAGCCTTTGAAAAAAGAAGAATTTCATCCCAAAAACAGCTGAACAAAGTCGGAACTTGGAACACATTTTGAAATTTGAAAAAAAAGCCATTCTAAATGCGGTCTTAGTGTTAGAAAATGATGAAACAGCCCTTTTTGAGATGTGAGGACAATTTTTGGCATAACTCCGACGCTTCTAAGCCACCCAAGAGTAAAGTTAAAACGATTTAGCCATTCCAAGTGCGGTCTCCGTCTGAGGGAGCATGTGAGCCATTCCAAATAAGGAAATTTAACTTTGAAAGGAAAAAAAAATAATCACTTTTAAACTAGCCGAATTAAAAATTGAAAAAAAAAGGATTTTGAGCCATTCCAAATGCGGTCGTAATCCATTAAAATGCAGTCTCAATTATGTGATACTAACTTTTTTCCGAAAACAGCTCTCTGAACCCCGAGTACCACTCAATTTGGAAACCAAGCCCGAGAATAACTTTTTAGCCATTCCAAGTGCGACCGTGATATTCAAAAAAAAAACTGAGCCGTTTCAAAACGGTCAAAAACCGTCACGAAAATGATACTATTATCAGAACTGCGATCGCCAAACGACCTGAAATCCTCCAAGCCAAAGATGGAGAAACTCGCCAAGGACAAGAACGAGATCAACATGAACGACATTCTCCTCGACTCGATCTGTGCAAACTCTCTAGATGAACACCCTGACGGCGTCGTCGAGGTGTGGTAGATGATCACCTAATCACCTCAAGAAAATGTTGCAGGACGTGGTGTCGATCTCGCCAGACGTCGTGCAAACCGTCAACGAGGACGACCTCCGGAAGGAGATGAACAAACCGACGTCGACGCTCATCGAGAACTACAGTCCCAGGCTGGACGACCCCAGTGACGAGGATCCGAACGAGCCGAAGATGACCGTCAACGAGTTCATCCGAAGCGAAAGTCATCGAGTCAGAATGGAAGAGGCGCGACTTCGTCATCCGGGACCGCCGCCGCCGTCCGACTACGAGACCGACGCGGATTCTGATGTCGACGACGTCGAGGTGACGCCGGTGGAGCTGCAGAAGAGCTCGCCTCAAGAGTTCCACGTTGAAGGTGTGGAGAGCGAGTCGGAAGATGAAGTGTTCATCGACTCGAGAAGTGAGTTACTTTTGGCACGCCTTCTGAATGAAGCTTGATGTTCAGGCTCCACGCCACCACCGCTTCCAAACAACCCTCCACCGTCATATTCTCCAGTTGTCGTGACTTTGGCCGCGCCGAAGGCGTCCCGAATGTACGACGATTCAGATTCAGACTCTGAGGTGGAAGCGCCGGCACCGTCGCCGCGACTGAGCAAGATGGAACCCAAAGAAGAGGTTTACTCAGAACTTCTGGATCTTCATCACTGAACATTTTCAGGACATTGGTTCGATTCATTCGGATACTTCTTCCACAACGACGTCGACTTCTTCCTCGAATCACCACGATTCTCTGGCCAGCTTCTCCGACAAGGAAAACCGTGTCACCCGTATTTCTGTCAAGAGTGACGGTCGTGCCGAGGTTTGGGCTTCCGTTTCTTCGGTCACTTATAAAGACAGGAATCAGGCGGAAGGCTTCAAGTGGTCTTTTAAGTGGAAATCTGGTCCAGTCTGAGAAAAAACTATCTCTTCAAGTCTAGAGGACCTTCTACAGTGACGGGTTAAACTAACCCTCGAGTGGACCCTTGATTTATTCCTAGGGCTCTTTCAAGGGCCTTTAACTCGGTCATTTTTAAGAAAAAAACCCTCTAGGGGCTACTTAAAATCCACAGACCTCAAGAAGAAGCCATTAAAGTGATGATTGAAGTTCCCTTGAGGTACCGCTTGAAAATAAAAATTCTGTCGAGGTCCTACTCAGATTCAGGAGCACTAGAAGTGCGATATATTTTGAAAAAGTTGAGCTTAGATCTCTAAGTGTTCCCTAAAGTGGCCTAGCCAAATTCCTGAACTAGGAAATCCCTCAAGTAGCCACTTCATCATAAGTACTGAATACCTAAAGTAGTCCCTTTAGGCTACTTAAACTCAAGAATTCCAGATCCACTCGCCGAAAAGCCCCGTTCGAGTGAACCTGGAGCAGCGAGCCGCCGGTGACGTCATCACCGACGACGAATTTTCCGAGAAACTCATCTGATTTCCTACCATCCAACTTGATCATCAATTCTTTAACTTTTCTCAAAGAAAAACCTTAAAAAAGTCCGTCTTGTCGATATTTTGTTCGTGATTTCTCAAAGAACATCCCTCGGAAACATTTTCTCCTCCTTTTTTCTCAGAAAAGCCCTCAAAATGAGTCCTTTTCAGAAGTTGCTTCTTGAAAACCCTTCTCGCAGGCTTCCGTCCGCCAAAAAGTTCAAATCGAAACTTTTTTTTGATGTATATAACGTAGTTGAAGAAACTGACATATCACTCTTGCTGACCCAACAAAAAAAAAAGAACTTTCCCTTTTTTCATGACACACACTGTTGGACTGTCCAAGCTCTTTATATATTTCTTTTTTTTTTCGAAAAATAATTCATGTTATGCGGAATGCAATAAAGGATGAGCACTTTTTTGAAGGTTGTTCGGAATTTGAAAGATGAAAGTTTGAAAGCCAAGCTAGCGAAGTGGAATAAAAACTGATGAATTGAGAAAATCTCAGCAATAATGACGTCAACCAAACAACTCGTGACGTCATTGATGAGCCAGAAGGACCGTAAACCCTACATAGAACTGTCAGGAATGACGTCATTTTCTCAAAAAGTCAATCGACGTTATGATGAGAAACGCCAATTGCAAAAATGACGTCATCAAAAAAAAAAAATTAGTTTCGTGACGTAATTTTCAGCCAGTTGACGTCATTATTAACATGAAAAGTTTAATGACGTCATTTCTCTTTTTTATGAACAAGAGCGGGCTAACCCGAGTTTTTTTTATAAACATTTGAGCGGGCCAACCCGGCTTCTTTCGTAAATAAATTGTAGCGGGCTAACCCGAACTACTTTTCCTATAAATGGGTGCGGGCTAACCCGATTTCTTTTTTTTTCACATAAATGGGAGCGGGCCAACTCGAGATCTTTTCTTAAAAATGGGAGCGGGCCAACCCGACTTCTTCCATATATAAATTGCAGCGGGCCAACCCGAGTTCATTTTCCGTATAAATGGGAGCGAGCCAACCCGAGTTCATTTTCCGTATAAATGGGAGCGGGCCAACCCGATTTCTTTTTTTTTTCATTCGAATGGCGGCGGGCCAGCCCGAGCTTTTTTTGTATATAAATAAGAGCTGGCTAACCCGAATCCTTTTTTATTTAAATGGTAGCGGGCCAACACGATTTCATTTTTCATATAAATGGGGGCGGGTCAGCCCGGTTTCTTTTATTGAAGCGGGCCAACCCGAACTGATTTTCATGAAAATGGGATCGGGCCAACTCGAAATCTTCGAATGTCACTTTCCGTGTTAGACTAGACAACTTTCTAGCGTGCTTTAAACGTTCCGAGGTACACGAAAATCAACAAGAAACCTCAGTGTTTTGCGGTGTAAAAGATAATTTCGGGGATCTGTCCGTCTTCGACGCTGGTTCCGTTGTTGTTCATGGCGGCGTAGGTGAACTGGAAAGTGACTTCGGCCGCCTGATGGACGATCCGACGGAGGCCTTTCGTCCCGTAAAAGGAGTCGGGACCCTGGGAATCATTGAATCAGCTATCATCTTTTTTTTCCACGGAATTCATGTTTGAAAATTTTAAAAATGACGTTTTTTCGTTCAAAATTTTCACACAACGACGAAAATTTGGCATTTCTAGAGCAGTGAAAAGAGCTTGTCGGTTCTTGAAAATGGCTTTGATAGATATGGACCACATTCAGAAAAGTTACGCCCAATTTCAAACCTCTACTGTACTGTATCATACTGTATTATACTGTAAAATACTGTAAAAACAGGTAAAATCAATATTTTCATCAGATTTTTGCTGTTAAAGTTGATGATTCCAAAAAAATTTTGATGTAGACGTCCTTATTTGATCAGAAGTAGCCTCTAAAGCTTCACCTCAAAAAATTTAACCCAAAAATTCCGTTTCACTTTGTTATAGTATCAAAAGATTCAAAGGATTGTCTCCAACTTTTAAAACATGAAAAATTATGCAAAACTAGGTTTTATTCAATCATTTCTCTTGAAAACTTGCTCATATATCGCTGAAAAAAGGCTTCGAAGTTCTAGAAAGTTCTGTAAACTTCAAGAATTATCTTTATGTTCTCAAAAATCTTCCCAAGTACTGAAGGGGACTCTATCGAAGTTTTCAATCATATTGGTCTCTAAAAAAATATGTTTTTTCTCGACTTTTTCAATAACTTCATCGGAAAGCTTCTTAAAAACTGTGAAAAAGTGAAGAGGACTTTATATAAGTTTAAGGTCGTTTAAGCCTCTAAAGATAATACTTTTCAAAATTTCCTACTTCAAAACCGTCTCTGTAACTTTTCCGAGTACTGAAAGAACCAGAAATGATCGCTAAACCGACTAAAAACTGTAAAACGTCTCATACAGGTTCATTTTCAATATTTTCCTCCAGGGATGAGGAAGTTCCTAACCATGAACTTGTACTTTCAAAAGATCTCTGAGCCTTTCAACTTTTGCAGAAACTCTGCAAACTGATTCTTTGGTATAACCTTATCAACTTATTTTTATTCTCATCCCCTGATTAATTGAAAGCCTGAATCATCAATTAATCAACCTTCGATGAGTTTCGACCAAAAAAATTGTTTTTGATTAATTTCGGTAACCATGGCAACGATCTTAGAGCTCATAAAACATTTGAAAATTATTTTTAGCGCTCCAGACTTTTTTTTAAACCAAGAATGTTATTGGATTGAATCTAAATAATATAGGAAACTTGGAAAACTTTAAACACAACCAGAAACAGTTTAAAACTGACTTTTTTCAAAAAGTTTTCGAAAAAATATACTTTTTTTCGTTTTTTTATGAAAGGTTGAGTAATTGAGTCAACCAGGGGATAAAAAAATAAATTAAACCTGACATTTTATTATCGTGATAAACATCTCCTGATTAATTAAAATCCTGAATCATCAATTAATTCAACTCCGATGAGTTTCAGAAAAAAAAAACCTGTTCTAATAAGTCAGCGATAACCATGGTAACGATCTTAAAGTTCAAAAAACAGCTTGGGAAAACTATTTTAACTCTTCCTAAAGGATGCAAATCTCAAAGATGACTATGTTTTCGATTCTTGAACGGGGACTTGAGAAGCTGAGAAGCTTAAAACCCTATAGAAACCACTTAAGTATGTCCCAGGAAATTCCTAATCTTCAAACACCGCCCCGAGTAGTCGTAGAACAACAGGAAAGTGACTGGGAGACTTTTTAAGTGAACACTTCAGAAATTGACAAAATAAAAATAAAAAGCTGAAGAAAAAATCTCTGAAACCTTTCTTAATAAGTTTTTCCCCTTTAGAAGTCCCTTGAGTGCTCAAGAGGTGAAAATATGGATATCGGGACCCCTAAAGTGACCCCTCCAGCTGTTCTGCCCTTCCAAGAACGAACTGAGCTCACGATATGAAGCTAAAGACTCTATAATGATCACTACAAGATGACACCCCTAGAATGACCACTACAACTCCATTCAGTGTTCCTTCTTCACCTTCAGACAAGCCGAGGCGATGTAGGTGACTCCGGAGAGGATTTCGACAGGTTCTCGGAAGCAGACGCGATTCGCCGCCGCCGTGCCGTCACATACGAACGACGTATCGTTCTCCGCCAATGTTCTACCCGTTCCACAGTGGATTATCTGAAACATTTCCATATAGGTCTTTCAGAAGAGCTTTGAAAGCTCAAGAAACAGAAAAAACTCCTGTGCCTTCAAACTTTCAGTATATTTTCTGGTTAGGTCATTCACAACAAATTTAAAGGCGCATAGGTTGAAAAAAGGTTATGTGCCTTTAAACTTCCAGTAATTCCATCAAACAGTTCATTCATCAGATCTTTAAAGGATAAAAAAGCTACTGTGCCTTCAAACTTCCGGCATATCCTACACAGTTCATTCATAAGGGCTTTGACGGCTCAAGAAACAGAAAAAAAGGCCCTTGTGCCTTTAAATTTTCAGTATGTCCTCCAATAAGATCAGTGAAAACAACCTTAAAGGCACATAGGTTCAAAGAAAAACCTGATGTACCTTTAAACTTCCAGCACATCCTACAAATGACCCTTTCAAAAAAAAAATTTAAAGGTACATAGGGAAAAAAAACTGCAGCGCCTTAAAATTTTTCGTACAATCAGTTCGTTCAAAACAACTTGAAAAAAGCCCGTGCGCCTTTAATTTCTGATGCTTCTCCAAATAGTCCATTCACAACAATTTCAAAGACGCATAGGACAAAATAAGCCTATGCGCCTTTAAACTTTCAGTATATCCAATAATCCCAGATTCAAGACAACTTTAAAGGCGCATATGTTGGAGAAAGCTGCTGCGCGTTTAAAATTTGGGTACATTCTACCAATCTGATAAGCGAAAGCTTTAAAGGCGCATAGGACAGAAAACCGCTGCGCCTTTAAATCGTTCCAAGAACCTTTGAACTAACCCTGATTTGAACCTCGTACTCGTGTGGTCCATGAACCGACCCGTACAGACCCAGGCCAACGACGTAGATCTGCTGATCCACCGTAAACCTTGAATACGATTACAGTACTTCTGGAAAATCGGGAAGATACAGTACTTGATCCGATCCGAGGTGCCACAGTAGCCCCATCGATTTTCGGTTCTCTGGAATCTTGAGACGACCGATTCCTTGCCCGAAATCACGCTTCGAGGTCTGGAACTTCCAAAAAATAACTGGGTGGAGCTGAAGATTTGAAACCTGTCGACATATCCAACTTGCGGCTTAGGATTCACGGTGTAGTAGAGAAAAAGGTTGACGACCTCCCGATCCGACAAAAGTCCGCATTGAGCTATAATCATTTTTTAAAGATTTGATTTTCATTCCTCGAGTTCCAACCAGCATTCTGGGCGAACTCCTCGACGCTCATCAATGGGAATCGGATGAGTTGGAGGGCCGATCCGAGGGTACTTCTCATGCTTTCGGCGTTCACTGGGAGTCCCAACCGGAGGCATTCCTGGCGAGACCAACGGACCACCGCCTGGGGGAAAAAAAATGGTTGAACTCATTCTGTCGATTTTTCTATAGGATTTCGCATCCCAGATTGAATGGCTCGCGCTGCGTTCTAGACAGTAAAGCAATATTTTCGGTACCGATCCCATCCTCTCGTGTCCCACAAGACGTCTCAAGCGCAAGTAGTTCCAGGTCGGGCGCAACGGCGAATATTTCAACTTTTATAACTAACACAGAGAAGAAAAATCGGCTCTTTCTGTAAATTTTCTTACGGGATACAAGATGGCGCAGTGCGCAAGTAGTTCCAGGTCGGGTGCAGTGTTTTGCTTTGATTTTTTTTATTGAGTTTATGGAATGGCTCGATGCGTTGCGGTAGCGTCGCGTTTTCTTTTAACCCTTTGAAAGTATAGTCTTTGAGCTCTCTCTACAAACTACAAGATGGCGGAGTGCGCAAGTAGTTTTTGGTCGGGCGTAATGAGCATGTGAGTTTTTGGACCCTCACAACACATTCCAAGCAGTCTTATAAAGTTTAAAAAGTGAAAAAAGCCTCCAAGGAAACCCGGAATTTCAATTCAACGTGAAAGTCTCCTCATTTATTGTGTGAAACTCGTAAAAACTCGTCCTTTCTTCTTTTTTTTTCTGTGGCCAAAATGAACTCGATCATGTTGGGACCCGCCAAGCGCATAATGATGTGCAAGCCAACTCATTATCAGGTTCAAATCAAATTTTCGTCGGAAACCAGGTAGATTACAGGTAAAATACCAAATAAACCCGTGGATGAACGTCAAGCGTCGGGCCGACAACGAGAGGGCTCAGAAACAGTGGCTGGAACTCAAAGCGACCATTGAAAAGTGTGGCGCCACCGTGGAAGTGATGGAGCCGGAGGTCTTTGACCAAGAAGAGACCATCGAAATGGAATTTTGAGGGAGCTGAGAACCTGCCGGACATTGTGTTCTGCGCCAACGCCGCCATAATTCGTGGAAAACGAGCCTATGTTTCGCATTTCGCTCACAGACAACGCGAAGGCGAACACGTCTTCTACGAGAAATGGCTCAAGTCGAAGGGCTATCAGACCTTCTACAACGACAATATTCGTCATGAAGGTACGTGAAAGGCGGATTTTTACGGAAGAATTTTTGAAAAAGCATCAAAAAATCTCTGGCCGTTCCCGACGTTTCTCAAATCGTATAGTCTTTCTGCCGCGACTTGACAGTTTTCGGATGTCTGCGTCTCTCTGTTCCCTCACCGGCGAGGTCAGGAAAATAGCATGTAAACATGAAAGAAACGTCGAGAGATAGGGAGGGCGCAGAGAAGACCCAAGCCGCGAAAAACGGACTAAAATCTTTCTCAAATCGCATCGAAACTCATCCAGCTCAAGACTTTTCATGGACCACTGACATCAACTTTCAGGAACTGGAGATGCTCTTTGGTGCTCCCAGGGGATGAATACGCTGATCAGTGGCGTCGGAACTCGTTCCGACATGAGAGCCGCCGCCGACATCCGCACGAAGATGAACCAAGAGGGCAAGGACGACTTTCAGGTCAGACGTTCTCATGTGGCTTCTGAAGCTTCAAAAGATTCTGATAAGCTCAGAGTATTCAGAATCGCTTGGGAGACACAGAACATCTTGAGACTTGACAGGAATGAACTATGAATTTCTCGTTCCAGGTGGTGTGCGCCCGACTCGTCGACCCTCGCTTCTACCACATCGACGTCTGCTTCTGCCCGCTGAACGAGAATCTGGCCCTCTTCTATCCCAACGCCTTCGACCCCGTCTCGCAGAACAACATGAAGAATTACACGACTATGCTCGAGGTAAGGAAAAGTGGCTGTTTTTTGAGATTTTAGTACGCTCCAACGCCAATTGGCTCTAAAAAAATCCCAAGGAACCCAAAAAACTATACGAAGGCTTCTTCTTTAAAGCCGAATCCCTTTAGGTACCCGAAAAAGACGCTCTGAAATTCGCGTGCAACGCCGTCGTCATCGGGAAGAACGTCATCCTTCACGAAGGGGCCAAGGAAACGGAAAAGGTCCAGGAGATTCTTGAAGCTCAAAAACTTGTCGTTCAGATGCTGGAGATGAACGGCTTCATTCCGCACGCCGTCGACATGTCCGAATTTCTCAAAGCCGGCGGCTCCTCCAAGTGTTGCACGCTTCGTTTAGAATAAAAACCCTTGATTAATGTTGTGAGGACTTGGCGCAGTTGGTTGTGTGCTTTTCTATGGTGAATAGGGTCACGAGTTCGATCCCACCTTGGCCAAAAAATGAATATAAGAAACGAAATTTGCCTAGAGAAACAGATTTGGACGCTTCTGGACAATCTTTCAAGCGATTCTTCGACACAGAAACGAGTTAAAATATAATTTCGAAACTCCGAGAGTAGCGCAGTGGCTTGTGAGCTTGTCCATGATACAAAAGGTCACAAGATCGATCCCACCTCGGCAAAAAAGAACTATAAGGAGCGAAATTTTCCTAGACACGTTGTAAGTCAAATTTACAGGCTTCTGAAGACCACAACTTCAAAAATTCAAAAGCAGCGCATTTGGTTGGGAGCTTGTCTATAGTCCAAAGGGTCAGATGTTCGACCCGAGCCACCACCCAATTTCTTTTGCCAATCCAAGAAGAAGGCATGGGTACCTGAAAAAGCGGCGCCTCTCTGACACGAAGGGAATCTCTCCGAAGGACTGCACAAAGGGTGTCGAGGTCGATTTCGCAGAAACCATCGCCAGCCAAAGCGTCAGTTGTATTCTTGTCGATCAGCTCGAGGCAGAGCTGCTCCAGCTGCGGCTCATCGAAGAGTCGGGCCTGAAACGTTGTAATTTGCGAAGAGTTAGATTCAGAAGCTCAAAAGAGGCTTGAGAAAGCGCTGGCCATAATACCGTATGCCTTTAGATTATAGGTCCTCAAGCGGGTCTTGAAGCGAAGAACTGGCCATATTACCGTATACTTTTAGATCATAAGTCCTTAAGCGGGTCTTGAAACGAAGAGCTGGCCATAATACCGTATACCTTTAGGTCATAGGTCTTAAAGCGGGTCTTGAAGCGAAGAGCTGGCCATAATACCGTATACCTTCAGATCTTAGGTTCTGAAGCGGGTTTAGAAGCGAAGAACTGGTCATAATACCGTATACTTCTAGATCATAAAGTCCTCAAGCGGGTCTTGAAGCGAAGAACTGGTCATATTACCGTATACCTTTGAGTCATAGCGAGGCGCGCAAGAAGAAGCTCCATATACTGTGATTTTTCCTACTGAAAAGTTCCCGCCCTCATCCTAATATCATTTCCATGATCATCAACAACTTCATCCCGAGAAGAAGAAGCTCAAACTGGCACCTGAGTCAGGAGCATAAAGGCGTTCTCAGCCTCGAGGCTCTGCTTGAGGAACTCGACGCAGGCGGTCTCCATCGCCGGGACCGCGTACTTCTTGGCCGTGTAGAGGGTGGTCATGACGCTCTCCGGGCCGATGTTCACCTCGTCCGAGTAGAGGAACTTGAGCAGGGTCAGGAAAGCTGATGGTTCGACGTCAGGCAGCTCAATTTCCAGCGGATCTAAGCGAAAAGTCATTTTAAAATGCGGCTGGTCGGGATTTTTTCAAATTTTGGCAAAAGAGTGATTATAAATCGTGGCTGGTCAGGATTTTTTTGGAACTGAGCCAGAAAATTCTTCGATCTTCTGGTTAGGGTTTCTGGAAGTCTCAAGGCGCAAAAAATCCTAGATTTCGAATGCCCAACCCTCGGACGTTTCTGGGCGACTCTAGGGATCACTTGAGGGTGCTGATGCTACTTTAGTGGTCACTTGAAAAACGCAGGAACGTCCGTTTCGCGTTACCAATGTCCGAGCCGTTTTTGATAATTTTCTTCGATTTTCAGGTGTCTTTTCCATAAAAATGAAGTTTCGGGACCCTTTTTTGAGTACAGATATCCTCAAAAAACCAAAACTTAATACACTTTTGAGCGGTACTGTACATCAAAAAGCACTGTGGCCCAATTTTTCCAATGATTCCAGGATTTAAAGTGAATCAAGCTTCTTTTTAGGTGAAATTACTTGAAAACTAATTTATGAAAAATTAAATAAATCATTTTCAAATTGATCTCCTCAATGGCAAAATCAGAAAACGATCAAAAAAGACGCCTAAAATCTTCGCAACGCAATAAATGAGTCAGAAAGGGGGTTCCCATCGATGACCACTAAAAAACCAGCGGGGCGAGAGGTCGTTAACCAATTTTATGTGGTTATTCCGAAACATTCAAAAAAGGCGCTATTTTACGACGTACTTGTTTGGGAAAGACTGTGAATTGCACTTTTCTCAAAGAAAGAATTTTAGTTGAAATATTTGGCCTAACAACTTTCAAGTGTTTCATCAAAGAATTTTAAAAAATTCAGGCCTCGAGAAAGGGTGACCATCTTCTCCAGCAGCTTTTCTGCCAAATATCCAAACCTCATGTTTGAGAATCTCAGTATAAGAAATTGAAGAGTCTAAATGAATTGCGATTGAAATCATAGGGGAATCGAGAAAAGGTATCGCGAGACCCTCTGAGGTATATCGCAGGCTCTGAAGTCTCAAGATGATACCTCGAGTATACCTCTGAGGATTTTGAGCGAAATGAGAGGGACTTGAGGGAGACTCTGAAGTACCTCCGAGATGGCTCAGGTATAGCTAAAAGGCATGCTGGAGGCCTCACGATGGACATATTATGGTGCCCTCCCGATTTTCCTGTGGGGCTTACTTGGAACTCAAAAAAGAATAGTTGGTCTTTCTTTGTTCTTATCGTGCCAGGACCCTTTTTTCAGGTCAGGCTCTTCAGAATCTTTTTCTTTTCAACTGTACCTCGAGAATTCTGAGGCGTGAGCCCTCCGTTGAACATGGCGTCGAAGACAACGCTACCAATTGAAAGGACAAACTTGTGAGCGGCGATTCTCTATAAAAGAAAAGTCGATTCGAATCTACGGAAGTTTAAATGTATTACTATAGAGCATATGGTTAGTTGGTTATATCAAAGTCCAAAATTCTTCTGAAGTTTTTAGAATTCAGCAAAGGTCGCTAGAGCCTAATTTTTCCCTTGTTTTTGGCCCAACAGAAGCGATTCCAATCATCGTTTAGTTGTACAAAGCTTCCCTGATTCATACAGAATCCCAAAATTCAGGAAACTTTTCCCATAAAACGTATTATTATATGTTACACCTGCAATCACCTGCTTATTATCCGATTTGCCGACAAGGAAGTAGACGTCGGCCAAAAAATCATTGCAGTACATATAATTGACGCGTTCTTTTAGGGAGCTTTTGGCGGCCTGCCAGCCCAACGGCGAGTTCTCCTCGACGTTCGCCGGGCGTCGTCCTGGACAGAAAAATGCCGTTTTTGAAGGAATTTGAAGGGGGAATTCACTTTGGACACGCTTCTGGAAGTCAGAAGTGGAAGAAGAAGAAGCAGAAGACGTGGGCGGATTCCGAGGTCGGACTCCGAATGCGATGAGATTGCTTGGCGGGTGTTCCATCAGGCTTCGGCTGGCTGAAAGAATTTAAAAAAAAAATGATCTTGAACACTTTCTGTAGATTCCAGACTAGGAACTCTCGAAAAGACGATCATTTCTAAAAAGCGCTAGAGGAAATAAGACAACTTGCAAGTCATTGAAAACGCGAGTAAAAATTCAAAATCTCCGCAACGCGACCGCGACGCTCGAGCCATTCTCCTTGCGACCAGGGTAAAATGTTCAACACACGGATATTGCGCTTCAAGACGAGTTTATACCATTTTCCATTGAAATTCATGAGGACTCGTATCATTTTTTAAACCTCGAACGGTTCTTTCCTGAGGAATTTCGGAGGGTTCACTATAGGGTATTTCATAGGGGTCCCTAAAAACAACAAAACGCCTATAAAAACCCCTCAGAAATTTCTCAGGCTATCTTAATTTTTCAAATGTAAGTGCGCTCCAAGGAACCCTGGTCTTGATTTACTAAACATGCATTTTTTTTTTCATTTACCCTTAAGCGGAACTATAAAAATTTGGTTGAGAGCCGGAGTAGTCCTTATAGGGGTTAGGGGCGGGAAACAACCTCTATAGGGGCTGAAAAAGTGTTCCCTATAGGGGTAAAATTAAGGTGGCCTCTATAGGGGTTTACGGTCTCACCACTTAGCCCCTAAAGCTCAAGTGGTCCCTATAGGGGTCGTTGAATTTCATTCAAAAATCGCTTATATATATTCAGTTTTTTCCATGGAAATGCTTCTTCGCATATAGTTCATAAAAGTTATCGAATAGCATGTCCCCTATAGGGGCCACTTTTGCAAGCTTTCATGGCCTCTATAGGAGTTGTTAAAGGGGTCCCTAGAGGGGCTCCCATCCTCCAAGGTCCCCTAAGGCTGCCCCTATAGGGACCGCTCTGGAGATCCTAAGTATCACCCATATACGAACTCTACACACCTGGCAGAATATTGACAGCCTTCGTCGATGAGGAAAAAGAAGCCTGATCGGGCCGGGAAGTCTGTTGCTCGGGAAGCCTGAGCCTTTGCTTGGACAGTCCGCTGGGGCCGGGTCTGCCGCTTCTGGCGTCGTTGATGACGCCTTCAAACTCGGAGACTTGCTGGAGCTGCTGCTGCTCCTCGGCGGCGGCGAGTTGCGGATGGAGGCGTTCGTTGCGCGACGCGGAAGCGCCGGTGTCGTCGTTGAGCATCTCGCCGAGCTCATCGAAGATTCGCGCCATGTCGTCCATTTCGGCGACTTCTGCGTTGTTCTGAAAGATTTCTGAGTCTTATGCGGTCTAATGCAGTGTTCAAAGAAATTTCCGGGAAATGCAAAACTATCTCTGACCCTCCAAAATTTAGTTGTCTTTCTCTTTCTCTGACGGCTATTTTGAAATTCGAGGAATCACTTTGAACACGGCATAAGGGTTAAAAGAGTCGATTTGAAACGTATTCAAAAAGGTCCGTTCGCCGCGACATGAAAGGGCGGGGCTTCTCTGGGACTCTCTCACGTTGGCGTGCTATTTTCATGTCTCTCTGATCTCGCCGCCGAGGGAACAAAGAGACGCCGACATTTGAAAACTGTCCAACGAATTATAAAAAAGTAAGGAAAAAGGCCCCGAGAAGTACTTGAGTGATCCCGTAAGGAATAATCTTAATTCAGCTCCAGGATCCTAATTTACTTTCTCACAGATTTTCTTTATGCTCATTTTTTCTGATCCAAGTGACCAGTTAAGGGATGAAAGAGATGAAATCGAAGACTACCCAAAAGAAATCGCAAAAATCCCTCAAATGGCCCCTTCATTTTTTCTATCGATTAAAAAAGACAATAGAGAGCCTACTACAAGGGTTCAAGGCTACTTGATAACATCATAAAGTGGTCACTAAAGGGATAAAAAAGGCCAGGAAAACCTTCATGAGTCGACGTTGAAAGTTAGAGAGAACAGAAAAAGGAGAGAGTGTCCAGAGAAAAAAAGAACGCATGCCCTCTCATTTTCTAACGCTCTCTTACTTTTGGAAACTCAAAGAATTCAAAAAACGCTTTTCTTAACAATAAAATGCACAGTGTTTGTTCGCGCCACTGAGCACGGCCCATTAAGTGACCACTTAAGAGGAGAAAGAAATGAAAATGAAGACTACCCAAAAGAGACCGCAAAAATCACTTAAATGACCCCTTCATTTTTTATCGGTTAAAAAAGACTACAGAGAGCCTACTACACGGGTTCAAGGCTACTTGATAACATCATAAAGTGGTCACTATAGGGGAGAAAAACGGAGGCCACTTAACCGTTTTTCCACCAATTCAATCCGAAAACGCCATAAAACGGGACCCTAAAGATGCCGTCGGCGACGACGAACATCTGCTGCTGGATGACGTCATCGATGCTCCTCTGTTTTTCGAGCGCGTTTTGGCGATCGCTGCAAAAAAAGTGGCCATAAATTCTCGAAGGTTCGATTACCTAGGCCCATATTCTCCGAGAACCAACGGATACCCGTCATCGCCCATTCGGTCTTCGCTTTGGCCACGGGAACTCGCCAGAGACTCGCGATTCGCCGCCACGTTCACCACGTGAACTTCTTCATCTTCAAGAAGCCATTTTTGAGACAATCCTCATAAGGAGGCTATAGTCAGTGTGCCACGACTTGAAATTTCAAGGAACGACATTCCGCTGTTCCGCTACGTGCGGTCGCGAAGCGTCTTTCGAATCTAGGTCACGTTTTAAATTGATTGTTATTGCTGTGGGGGCACGTGAAAGTAGAATACTTTAATAAAAGAAAAAAAAAAATTAAAAGCGCGACCAAGGTTCGCGAAGGCGCGCAGCGGCACAGCGGAATGTCGTTCCGTGAAATTCCAAGTCGCGGTACACAGACTATATTAAACTTTTTGAATGGGAATTTTCTGAAAATTGGCCGAATCACTCCTAGCAGTACTAGAAAACCATTCTGAAAGTCACAAACTACAAAACCGCCCAGCTCCTGAAAAATGAGGGCCCAAAAATAGCCGGATTTTGAGGTACCTTTTTTTCAAAAACTAGAAAATTGGGCAGGATCAAAATTTTAGGATCTTCGTCTGGTACATCAAGGAGCGTCCTGGTGAGTTTTCCGGAAAATTCCAATTGCAAAAATAAATCGACAGTAAAAAAAAAACAACAGAAATCCACACAAAAAATGAAAGAAAATGACAAAATCAGCAAAAAACGGTTAAAAAAATTACATGATTTTTAAGAAAATATCCAATTTTATTATGTAGCCGTGTCGCGAAATACAAAATTATCTCTGACTCTCCAAATTTCAGTTATCTTTTTCCATTCTCTGACGGCTATTTTGTATTTCGCGGGGTCAATTGGATCACGAATCGGACAAAAATTAGAAGTAAAATTTGATTTTTTGAAATATGCAGACTGCAAAAATCATCATTCTCACGACGTTTATGAAGTTTCTGTACCGAAAAATTGGAAAAAAGGACAAAAAAAGTCTTGAAAATCATACGAAAACACTTTATAGAGCTTCATTTTGACAAAAATATTGATAATTCAAAATTCTAAAGCTTCATTTTTCGATTTTTTTTTAAAAAAAAAGGACCTCTACGATTATTAGCAGTATTTCTACTACATTCTGACAAGGATTAATCGAAATTCGAGTTTCTAAGTTTTGATTTTTGATAGGAAAAAGAACATCTCCGCTTATTGGTTGGGTTCCTACTGATTTTTGACAAGGATTAATCAAAATTCCAACTTCTATAAGTTGATTTTTCAATTTTTGAACGAAAAAATAACCTCTCCGTTCATTGGCCGGATTCCTGGTAACGTTAGCCGGTAACGCCGGGGAGTTGACCGGATTCGAGACTTCACCGGTTTCCACGGCTTGCTGTTGTTCCAGATTCGCGGCGCTTTGCCGTGATGGGAAAATTCGGTTATCCCTGAAAAAATTTGATAAAATCATCTTGAATATCAGGAAGACCAACCCCTGGAACAAACTGACGCCTTCGGAATCGGGATTCTCTTCAACGGGTTCCGGAGGAATTTCAGCAGAAGAAGAGGAAGAAGCCGCCGGTTCCGGGCTACTTTCTGGTTTCGATCTGAAATTTCCGGATTATTCTGTTGACTTTTCAAACAAAATCCTTGCCTGGTACCAAAAAGACCTGTAAAATGCTTGACCGGTTGCATTGTTGTTGAGGAAGAAGAAGGGGAGGAAGAATTATTAGAGAAAACGGCTGGAATTGTCGACTTCTTCGTGGGATTTGCCTCAAACTCAAAATTTGAAAAATATAAAACGGGATAAAAGGAAATGAAGCACCTTTCAGAACTCTGAAGGCGGCGAAATTCGAATTCGATCATTTTTGCGGGTTTTTAGAAGTCATTTTCATTTTTTTTTTCTTTGTATCGAAAATTTAACGCCATCATTTTTCGATAAATGGTTTTAATGAAAATCTTTTTTTTCGGATTACAATATATATGAAAAAATTAGCGTCCGCACTTTACTACCCTTTTTTTGAAAAATCCGAAAGAAAAAACTTTTTTTTCCGAATAATTTTCGACACGACGTTCCCAGAGCTACATCGCCCGTCAAATATGATGTTTCTTGTGCATGAACCCCACGCGCAATTTAATTTATTTCTGAAATTTTTTTAAAAAAATTTTTTTGATGATCGAAAAAAATAAGTTAAAAAGAAGCTAAAAAAAGGTGAAACAAAAAGTTGATTGTTCATTTATCTTGAATATAAAAAAACTGGAAATACTCAAAAAAATCCAACTTTTTTATGGAAATAAATTTCAAATGTCTCAAAAAGTTGATTATTGCTGCTAACAGCAATAATGAAGGTTAAAAAAATTTGTTGGAAAATGAAACTTGAACAGTTTTGTACAAATAAAAAGTGCAATTAAAATAATTTTTAAACTATTTTTTTGGTCTTAAGACCTTCCTCAATCTTTCTAAGAACAAGGATATTTTTTTCTTTCCTTTTTAAAAATCTTCGAGCTTTATTCAAGATCCTCACCTTTTCATAAGAAGCTTTGAAAAAAACTTTTTCTCCTTCAAAAAAACGGAAAAAAATCGAACAAATACTAAAACCTTAATTTTTCTTCTTTAATCAAAGTTAAAAAAAGAACAAAGCATCATTCTTTACTATTATCTCAACTGCGAGAGAGTGCAAAAGATAAACAACCACTTGACAGTGTAAACAGCGGCAATTGAATCGATAAAACGACGTTCCCGGAAAATGATCACCTGCAATCGCGGGTTCTTGCTGTTTGTCCCACTCGTACTGGTCGCTGGGCAAATCGTCGAGGATTTCTTCTTCTTCGGAAGCTCCATTGAAAGGCCTCTTCAACGAGAAACGAACGAATCTTTCAATTCATAATGGCAACGAAGCGAGACATGTGTGCAAAACAACAACTGTTCTTGAACCAACCAAAAAAAAATGAACGAAACAAAAAGAAAGGAACGAAAAACGGCGATGCCTGCATTGAAATGCAAAACACATTTACATCAGCCTCGGCCAACAAATTCGATACAAATGTTTTTATTCGAAAAAGAAAGAAGAAAGAAAAATAAAAGGGATAGCGTAAATCGGAGGAACGGGATGAGCAGAGCACCATGGCGCGAAAAGACAGATTTGCGCGGGAAGTAACAAAAAATCTTTCTGACGAGGGAAGTGCGAAGAATTTGATGAAACTTTTTTGAGAGGTACTTTAGAACACCCTGATACGAAATAAATTAATGAAAAGAGTGCTTCATGCCTTTTAGTTGGGATATGACGCCAAAAATCTTTTTTCCTTCATAAAAATAAGAGAAGTCGAGTTTTGCATGATTGTAACTCTATTAAAAAGCAATAAATCGCGACTTCCCTCAACTGATTTTAATCAGGACATCTTGAAGTACTTTTCAACAAACTTTCATCAAATTTTTAAAAAATTTTCCTGGTTTGAAGGCGCATGGCAGTATCCCAAAAACGGTCAAAACCCGTTTACAGTACTGTTTCAAGATCTTCAAGCCGTTAACGCAGTCTCAAGCCAACGAGTATGAAAAAAAAAGTAGAAAATACTCCCAAAATATGAAAACAGATATTCAAAATGGAAAAATCCTATCCGCATCGAATCCTCGTGTGAAAAGTCTTCACTAATCTTCCCCAATATCCTGTTTTTCCCTGGCTTCCGGGAATTAAAATGCTGTTGATGAATTTTCAAATGATTGGTTTCAAGATGAAGATAATGATTATAAATAGCCACTAAAAGCGAAAAAAGGAGGATTTCCTTGCAAACATTGTATGGTGGGAATAAAAAAATAGATAGAGAAGTTTATTCTTCTTTGAAAGACGGTTGCTGAGACGGCGATCGTCCTTTCTCAGCTGATTAATCTGAAAATTTAGGACTAAAAAAATATCAAAAAAATGATCAGTGAGTTTTCAAAAAAGATCTTGAAGCGATCAGCGAAAATTATACAGTAAGGTGAGATTTCAAAGTGATTTATTATTTTTTTAAAAAGTTCGATTGTGCTCACTATTTCTCTGATCGTGGCAGGACCATCTTCTCGAAAAATACATGTCCCTTTAAATTTTTTCAAGTTTTGTACCTTCCAAAAAAATGACTTTCTCATGTCTCACTCAGCTTCACTGTTCGTTGCAGGACCATTTTTTAAACTCGTATAATTCATATTTTTCGACAAGCAAGCGATAAATGAACTATAAGATTTGAAAAACCAACCACTTGACTTGTTGCTGTTAGAAAGAAGGCTCGACGACGGCTGTTGAACATTTTCCGATTCGCCGCTCGACGCGTCGATAACTGCACCTTTTTCTATGATTTTGGTGAAAACTTCATTTTGGAAAGGATTTAAAAGCCATTCGTCATAAATTGAAAAAAGTCTGGCTTCTCTGCATCTTCTTGTTATTGCCTGCTATTTTCTTGTTCGACCGGGGAGAGAAGAGAGAGCGCAGACACGTCAGACTGTTTCAATATGTACCAAATTTAATAAAGAAGGAACGATTCACGGAAAATTGATGTCTGACTTCTCTGCACTCTCTGCGCTCTCCTTACTTCTCGCCGGTTAGAGAAAAGAGAGCGCAGACAGTTCAGACTGTTTCAAGTCGTCGCGAATGGAGTACAGAAGGAGCGATTCGCGAAAAATTGATGTCTGACTTCTCTGCACTCTCTTCATTTCTATGCGGTTAGAGAAAAGAGAGGGCAGACAGGTCAGAGTGTTTCCGATTGAGACGAGTACAGTACAGAAGGAGAATTTCGCGAGAATCGGTTTTCTGACTTCTCTGCGCTCTCTTCATTTCTTGGCGGCGAGAGCGAAGAGAGCGCAGAGAGGACAGAGTGTTTCCAGATGAGGCGATTTGAGTACAGAAAGAGCGAATTACGAAAAATTGATGTCTGACTTCTCTGGGCTCTCTTAATTTCTAGCCAGTTAGGGATAAGAGAGCGCAGAGAGGTCAGAGTCTTTCAAGTCATGACGAATTTGGTATAGAAAAAAAACGATTCGCGAAAAATTGACATCTGACTTCTCTGCGCTCTCTTCGTCTCTAGCCGGTTAGGGAAAAGAGAGCGCAGAGAGGTCAGACGGTTTCAAGCCCGAATTGAGTAAAAACGAACGAGTCGCGAAAAATTGATGTCTGACTTCTCTGCGCTCTCTTCATTTCTATGCGGTTAGAGAAAAGAGAGCGCAGACACGTCAGACTGTTTCAACACGTGCCAAAATAAGTACAGAAGGAGCGATTGGCGAAAAATTGTCTGACTTCTCTGCGCTCTCTTCGCTCCTCGCCGGTTAGAGAAAAGAGGGCGCAGAGAGGTCAGACTGTTTCAAGTCGTGGCGAATGCAGTTTACGCCATTTTTCAGAACTCACCAGCCGGCGGCGGCTTGCTCTTCTCCAGTCGCTTCGATTTTTCATCGCTGGCGCTGAGGCGACTGTAGTAGTCGTCGCCGCCGTTGTGATGCGAGGGCGACGGCGTCTTTTTGACTTGTGGCATCATCCGAACACACGTGAGACTGAAATAATCTAGAGTAATCACTTAAGGAACTCCATTACTCGTTTAGAAGTTTAGCACACGGAAGATTGAGAGACTACTTTGAACTCATAGCTTTAAAGTGACCGCTTGAAGAGTTCTTGATAGGTCACTCATCTTTTTCGTCTCGCCTAGAGAGCCCTAAAGTGATCCGATCCGTTGTGAGGAGATAAACCCGAATCAAGTTCACTTAAGGGCTCTACTACCCCTTCAGGAAGATAGCACACACCGGATTGGGAAACTACCTCAAGCTTATAGCTCTAAAGTGGCCACTTGAAGAGTTCCAGAAAGGTCAATTCTTTTTTCACAATGTAGAACACTCAAGAGATCCCTTGTAGAGAAACCAACCCGAAGCAAGGTCACTTAAGGGGTTCTACTACCCCTTCAGAGAGATAGCACACACCTGATTGATAAATTACTTCAAGCTTAAATCTCTAAAGTGACCACTTGAAAAGTTTCAGACAAGTCACTTAAGCAATTCAACCCCCGTCTAGACAGCCCTCAAGTGATCCCTTGTGAAGAAACCAACCCGAAGCATGGCGTTCGGACCGGCTCCACCTCAGTCTCGATGACGCTTCTCACGCTTCGACCTTCGATCACCGCTTCTCTCTGACGTTTTTTCAGGGCCTGAGGATTTTTTTTTTTAAGTTTCTAATAGAGCTTCAGAATCGAATTCAGGTATAATAAACGTACAGGAAAATAGAAATCTTCTGAAAGAAACCGTCATTCAGATCACAAAGATCTTAAAATTAGCTGACTATCCACCAAATCGACTACAGTCCATTCGCTTCAAAATTCTTTGACCGCACTGGGAATGGCTGAAGTCTTCTCACCTGCCTACGCTGAAGGTGCATTTGTTCCCGATTTCGATCGTTGCAGGAGCACGCCGCCAGCGTCACCAGCACCATTGGGAGCAACGTCGCTCCAAGTTTCAATACTTAAAATTTTTTTTCAATTCCGTGGGATTCCAAAATCTTCCTACGTTCAAGCAAGAATAATTCCATGACGAGGAAGAAATATCTGAAGAAATGCGGTTGAGGAATAGAAATGAGGTGGCAAAATATGAATCATACGCTATCATTTCTGAAGTCGGGTTGATTCAAAGTTTATTACTTGTTGAAAAATGAAATTTTGAGGACTTGAAAAGCACTTTTCGGAAAATTTTTGATATATTCCTCCATTTTCATTGCCAAAAACGGGTGCCAAATGGCCACTGAAAGGATTCCGTTTTGCGGCCTTTATTGAGCCTTTCTCTCTTTGTTGCGTAGAAAGTCTCAAAAAGGCTGAAAAAAGGGCGCAAAAAGGGTGCTGAAAGACTCGGAAAATGATGATTTCCGATTATATTACTGTAGCACATTTTGGTTCATACACGGTTTTCTATTTAGTGGCCACTTCAGTAGTTTTTCATCCATTATTCCTTCCTGTAACTATGATAACTCAGACCTTGGTAACGCGAACGGGACGCGAATCGGACGTGTCGGGGAATTTCTAGTGACCACTTTAGTAGCCTCAGAACTCTTAAGGGATCCCTAGAATCGCCCAGAAACGTCCGGAGCACGTCCGTTTCGCGTTACCAATGTCCGAGAATTTTCAAACAAACAGATTGGACCAGTTGAAGTTGATCCAGTGACCCCTAAAGTGGCCACTAAAATTTTTAGTGATCTAGTAGTAGCCCTTAGACCTCTATAGTGGCCATTTATTTTCAACCCCTTTAGTGGCCATTAATTTGACTGCTATAGTGTCCACTAAAACGTCAAAACCCTACAGTGGCCGCTAAAAATTTTCCCAGTAAGGCAGTAAAATTGCCACCCGTTTAGGAACAAAAACCAAAGCAAATTTTCGTTCAGCCACTATTGAAATTTAGGGAAGAAAAATGAAATTATTCCCAAAAATCTTAGAAAAAAAAGCTGTAACTACTTTTTGAGCCAAAAAAGAATGAGTTTATCATTAAAAATCGGCCAAATATTCTCAGAGAAGGAAAAATATCCAATTTCCACAAACCTAGTGTCCTTCCACTGAATCCGGAACAAAATATCCATCTTTTGAACTTTCCTCCAAACCGATCTTTCGCCTTGCCAATCTCCCAACGAATCTGTTTCGATCTTCCTTCTTCAATTCAAACAATATAGAAAAATATCACGGTCTCATCTTGAAGGGAGTCAAATTTGGAGGAGGAGGATCAATTCCCATCTTGGATCCCATCTCCGAAAACCTTCGTCTAGGGAGAAGCTTGAAATTTGCCGCTTTTTCAGTTGGAGAACCGCTGTTCTTCAATTTTTAGTGTCTTAATTTTTCAGAAGGACAAAATTTCAAAAATCCTTGGATTTTTAAAGGCGCATGGACAAACTTTCCGAAATTCTCGAAACAGAGTTCTTCTCAGTGTTTTAGGCTGCGGAAAGTTTCAAAAACTTTGAAAAAATCGAATAAAAAAAGAAAAAAAAAGCTTTAAGAATAAATCAACAAAAGTCGATTGTTACCTGATATTCGATAAAAGTAAAATCACAATCTGCAAAAAATGGGTAGTTTTCAAGAAAGGGAAGCAAGAAAGAAACAAGAAAAACTCAAAAATAAGAAATATAGAAGAAAAAAGCGACAAATAAAACCAAATATGTATCGTCTCGGACATTGGTAACGCGAAACGGACGTGCTCCGGACGTTTCTGGGCGATTCTAGGGATCCCTTAAGAGTTCTAAGGCTACTAAAGTGGTCACTAGAAATGCCCCGACACGTCCGTTTCGCGTCCCGTTCGCGTTACCAAGGTCTGAGGTAGCAAAGATTGTCCACAGAGCAACTTTGCCTAACTCCAAAAAAAAAATCTGATTTCAGAACTTTATCACGACAATTCTAATGGGGTGAGGGAAGGTGAGCGAAAGTTTCTGAATTTACAAAAAAAAAGTAAGTACGTGCTCCGGATGAAATGACGTCATTCTACGACTGAGTATCCAACGTTAATAACTTGATTTTTGCTGCGTACTTGAGATTTGAACTTTCGCGACAAATTTTTTTGACGTCCCCGTTTGAGAGCGCCGTGTCAAATAGTATGAACTTTCATGCAGTTTCGCAAATGATCAAAATTAAAAAAGTCAATTTTTTTGAGACTAGCTTCAAAGAAGTAATTAAACGTTTCTTGAATAATCTGAACTTCAGAACCTTTCCTAAGCTTTCTCCAAGGCGAATTATATCTTCTCACTTTTTTTAAATGTAGATTAGAAGCCCTAGAATGTAGTTGACGTGATTTAGAACAAAAACTGGTCCTTTGATGATATCTTGAAGAGATGTTCCGCCGACAGGTTGTTCTCTAGTGAGTTTGGACCCTTTTTCGGTGTCGAAAAAGATTTCTAGGCGGTTCCGGTCGGAAGAAAAACCTGGCGGAAGTTTCTCAGGACTTGAAAATTCAAGGTTCAAAAGGTTTTCTTATCGGAAAGATCTTCAGGCATGTCGCTCGAAAATTTTCAGAATTTTTTTATAAAAAAACGGACAACTACTTTTTCAATGTTCATTTTTAAGCTCTTATCAAATTTTACAACCTCTAGTTTTTTTTTTGAATTTTAACAGTCTTCATCCTTTGTTAAACTTGATTTGCATTGCTTTGAAACTTCATGGTCGCACTTGGAATGGCTCAACGCGTCGCGGTCGTGGAAAATTACAGCTTCTGCAAAAAAGTTATCGCATTGAGGTAACAGCAAACCAAAGAGCTTACTCTAATGGTCTGCGATGCAAAAAAGCGCAAGTCGTTTTGGGTCGGGAGCAGCAAAAAAACTTTTTTGCAGCCAAGCCAATCAAAGGGTGGGGCATGGGAGTCAAGATTTTTAAAGCCATTTTTCAAAAAAGTTTAACAGTTCTTTATCTTTTTATACACTTTGATCGCTTCGCTTTAAAACTTCATGGTCGCACTTGGGATGGCTCAACGCGTCGCGGTCGTGGAGAATTTCAACCTCTTATTGTGAAACAAGTTCGTTTTGAGTCTATAGCAAGCCAAAGAGTTTACGGCACATTCTAGTGGTCTGCGATGCGAAAAAGCGCAAGTAGTTTTGGGTCGGGGGCGTCAAAAAAAAAACTTTTTTGCAGCCGAGTCATTAAAAGGGTGGGACATGGGAGTCAAAATTTTTAAAACCATTTTTGAAAAAAATTTAACAGTTTTTTATCTATTTATACACTTTAATCGCTTCGCTTTGAACTTCTATGGTCGCACTTGGAATGGCTCAACGCGTCGCGATCGTGGGAAATTTCAAATTCTGCAAAAAAAAAAGTTATCGCATTAAGGTAACAGCAAACCAAAGAGTTTACTCTAATGGTCTACGATGCAAAAAAGCCCAAGTCGTTTTGGGTCGGGGGCGCAAAAATTCACTTTTTTGTAGCCGAGCCATTAAAAGGGTGGGGCATGGGAGTCAAAAATCGCTTTTTCTATTCATCTCGAAGTCCAAAAAAAAACAGCTTTCCAAGACATTTTTTCTGCAAAATGATGTCACATATGTCCTTTAGGGCGACGTGTGGAAGGCAGAAACTTCGGATGGAAAAGGTCCGATTGCAATCGCCGAAGACACGGTGAATTTCGATCCTCTTCTGGCTGCCCTCTCCATTGATCCCGACGGACCTAACTTCTTCACACGTGTTCCACACGTTTTTTCTTACTTTTGGTGGCGGCAACTTCAAAAAAACTGTCTGCAAATAATCTTGTCCTTTCATCTCTCTAGTTTTCCCTTGTTCTCAAGTTTCGGGAGTTCTCTTATATTGTTCGAAAATTCTCTGAAGTGAAGCGCCTAACTCTCTCTCTCTCTCTGACACACACTATTTCGTTGTTGTCTAGCTGCGAGAAAACGACGAAACAGTGTAGGTCAGAGAAAAAATTGTCACTAGAATTATTCTTGGTTGAAATTAAAATAAATCATATAGGTCATTCCGCGCCAGTTTGTCACGATTTTCAGTTTCCTCGGAGCTACAGAACCCCCGCGCTTCGCTTCGATGCTCTCGGTGTTCCCCCCTGCGTGCGCCTTTAATAAAACATTTGATTAAGATGTTGCTTCAATTTCCTCTCTCTTTTATTAGTTAACGAGGTTGTTTTCAATGATTTTCAATACACACTCAGATTCTGTGCTGGATTTGTAAGAAAAAAGATTGAATTACTACTTTTTAATTTTAATGAAACCGACTGTTCGCGCTTTTTTGCATATAATTTCTGGGTTAGTTAGATATAAAATTTGACGTTACAACTGTTTTTGTAGGATAAGAAAATTCCAAAATTCGGAAACAATGAGTCTTATTAAAGGCGCACGCAAGCGGGTACACCGAGAGAATCGAAGCGAAGCGCCGAAAAGGCTACTGTAGCTCCAAATAAACTGGAAATCGTGACAAGCTGGCGCGGAATGACCTATATTCATGGTCTGAGTGTTGGTTTCTCTGTTCGTCGCACTTAGAATGGCTCGACGCGTTGCGGTCGCGTCGCGGTTCAAGTTAAAGCTTCAAAATGTACTTTTTAACTGTCAGCTTTCCTAAGCTTTTCTATGTAAACTGCCAAAAGCCGCTTAATGATCCGCCACACTTTCAAATTAACCGCTTCGCAGCCGCGACGCTCAAGCCATTCTAAGTGCAACAATTTGAAAAATCTCCGAAAATTTTGAAGATACTTTTTTTCTTCAAAAATTTCATTTTCAAAGCCTTTTTTTGTTCATAAAATGCTTCATATTTTTGAAATTTCTGTCCCTATCTTCAATTTTTATGCTCCTTTTTCCATTTTCGGACTGTAAATGGGTCGCTAACGGTATCAAGTACATTTTCCATTTTTTTTTCTTCTTCGAAATATGTACTCCGCACTAAAAAGCTTCAAAATTCAGATGAATTCGGTGAAAAAGCGCCGAACCCTGTGGCTGTTGCTCCTGAGCAACCTGCTGGTGATCCTACTAATGGCGATATTTTTGTTCCGACCAACTGGCATCCCCTTTGAACATGGGAAAGAAGTCCTGACACCTTCTTATCCGCTTTCCAACAGAAGAGGTGCCATCAAAACCAAATTTGTCAGGGAGATCCTGGCCCCCACGGATGACAGCGATCGTAAGTTTCCATTGATTTTATGATTTTTTAAAACTTTTTTTTTGAACAAAAGTTTTCCTAGAACTTCACAGCCTATGGATCATACGGCTTCGAAAAATAGTCGCGGTTGAAAAAAAATTCAAAATCTCATTCTCAAATCGTGAAAATTGCTTTTTGCTTTTTGTAAGGTTCTTTGCTCTACAGCTGGATCCGATTCATTCTTTGACCGCACTTGGAATGGCTAAATGCGTCGCCTACGCGTTGCGGCTAAAAGTGTAGATCGAAACTCGACCTGAAAAATCTGCTTCTAGCTGAGATTGAGATCTGCACAGACTTCAAAACCATGGTCGCATTTGGAATGGCTTGATTCGTGGGGTTCAAAGAGAAATTTGAATTTCCGATTCCAGCCTGTCCGTTTCACCGCTCTATAAAATTATTTGGAATTTTAAAACTGGATAATTTCAAGAAGCGTCGACGCATTGAGTCATTCCAAGTACAACCTGAGCTTCTAAAGCATCTCTCCTCATGTTCTAGAACCGTTTTTCACCACTTTAGGGGCCACTTAAAAGGTTCCTCAAGGACTACTTGGAAAGGGCACTTTAGTGGTCACTGAAGCCTTTATTTTGCATCTAGGTGGCCTAGCAGTACCATAAACTACTATAGTGGCCACTAAAACCTTGAAACCCTTAAGTGACCACTAAAAATTTTCCCAGCAGTTTCCGACCTCTTGTCCTCACTGCTCTCGCTTTTTTTATTCCTACAGGTGAGATATAAGAGAGCACAGAGAAGCTAGAAAAATTATTTTTCTTCCAGAGTCTTCTCCAGCACTCACGAAGCTCCAAAAATTTCGATTCTAATAATCCAAAACGTTCCAGAGAACGACATGGCTCCCAATACAATGTTCGAGATCTTCTCTCACCCTGGGAAACAAGAAGGCGTGGAGATGCTGTTGATCATCAGCTCGACGTCGTCAGATCCGTCGACTCGTCAGGCGATCCGAAGATCCTGGGCGAACATCTCCGAGCTGGACGATCCGAGGATCCACGTCGAGTTCGCCTTGGGCAGGCCGGTGGGTCATATTTCCTGGATAAAACAATCATTTTCATTCTCCAGAGCACTGCCGAGACAACTCATCGTCTCGAGGCTGAACAGGCCGATCATGAGGATCTTATAGTTATCGACATTGATGAGCTCGACGGGAATATCGGCTCCATGACCACTTACACCGCTTTGGAGTACAAATGGCTCAAGTATCCGAAAGCGAGATGTCTTCTGAAGACGGGGACGAATTCGGTTCTGCACTTGCCCAACCTGATGAAGCTCTGTATGGAGACGGGTTCGTTGAGGCTTAGGAACTGAATGAGTTCAGATTCCTCTGCAAAAGAAATAGCAAAAAAAAATTGTTAGCAGCCGGGATTGAACATGGCAATGGATAATTGATAGCTAGGCGCTCAGAAGTTGATCTAGGCACTCCATGCTTTAAAAAATCCAATTGAAAGCTAGAAAACGGACTTTTCAGAATGAAAAACGAGTCTAAAATGTTGCTATAACTTTTTCGGTTCCTAAATTTGAAAAAAAACTACAATACTTTTCTTTTTTTCAAAAAAATAAAATCAGAGTCATGAAAAAATATAAGAACTTGAGCCGAACGTCTTCAAAATCAAGCTTTAAGGTTACAAGAAAGTTCCTTACATGGGAGGTAATTCTAGCATCCAAACTTATTTGATAGGTTTTTACATAAAACTTCAAAATTCTCATCGGAATTCTTGGAAAAAAAAATGGCAAAAAAAAGTTAGCGGCCATAGAATTCGAACCCTCAGCGAAGGCTCCGCAGGCTAACACGCTAGCCACTGCACTATTCTCCTTGCAGCCATGCAATGGTTGGTGGCGCGGCCAAATTCCTTCCAAACGGCGTCACATGGTTGAGGATAAAAACTTTGAAAAATTATATCTTCAAAACAAAAATTTTGCGCAGATAGCGACCAGTCCATCAAAGATTGTCTGAGCAAATTTCGAGAAAATTCCAAACCCTGCGCAAAAATAACCTCCAATTTTAAATTTTCAACTTTTTCCAAATTTCAACTGTCACCCTTTCAAATGAAAAACGCCGTTTTAGAAAAAAAATTTCAGAAAAGTCCCAAATAATTGGCCGATGTGACAGTGTCCCCCTGAGAAGCAAAAACAGTACAAATTCCAATCTCACGGATCCCCACGAAAAGCTCCCGCAGTTCTGCTACACGGGGACCTACCTCATAGTTGGTCAGTTCATTATAAAAAATTCATCTCATTAAAATTTATTTCCAGGCCAAGACATCCCAGAAACTCTTTTTGATTTCAGCCGAAAGCAGCCATTTATTCGACTCCATAGCTTTCAAGTACTTCTGATTCTACTTCTAATTCTTAATTTTTTTAATTCTAGTGAAATACCCGAAGACATCACATTCACCGGACTTTTGTCGGAAAATCCTGGAATCCGACGTCAACACCACGACGGATTCTCTCACAACGAAACAGTCGAATATGAGTGCCGAAATGGGTTCATGAGAAGCTACAGTATCCGTTTGAAACGAGGCTCCGATTTGAACTTGGCTTACAGTAACCTGGAAGAGCTTCAAAATGAGCCATGCTAGATGTTAAAAGCGCTTCAATGAGAATTTATTCATGAAAACTTTTTGGAGTATTCTAACCTTGAAATTTAACGAAATTTGAATTTTTCTATCTAAGGAAAAAAATAAGACTCAAATAATCCAAGTGATCCCTAGAGCGATTAGAAACTTGAAATTTTTTTAAAATTGTTTATCATTTCTTCCATAAAGCCCATGTCATTAATTATTAGAGACCCAATTAAAAAAGGCTTTCAAACCGCTGAAAGTATTTTACATAAAGCCCATGTCATTAAAAACTGCGAACCGATTAAAAAAGGCTTATTGAAACCCTGAAAGTACGCTCCATCGATAAAACCATGATAAAATTATCTAAGTGATCCCTAGAGCGATTAGAAACTTTAAATTTTTTTAAAATTGTTCATCATTTCTTCCATATAGCCCATGTCATTAATTATTAGAGACCCAATTAAAAAAGGCTTTCAAACCGCTGAAAGTACGCTCCATCGACAAAATTGAAATGTTCATTTCGCTCTCATGAATAAACTATCTAAGTGATCCCTAGAGCGATCGAAAATTCGAAAAACTTATTTATTCACTATCCCATTCCCCATGAAGCCCCTGTTATTAAAAATTAGAGATCCAATATAAAAAAATCTTTCAAATCGCTGAAAGTACGCTCAACCGATAAAGGGTCTTTCAAATCTTTCAATTCGCTGAAAGTACGCTCCATCGATAAAAACATGATAAAACTATCTAAGTGGTCCCTAGAGCGATTACAAATTTGAAAAAAATTTTCAGTTCCTCATCCTTTTTTCCCTAAACCCCATGTCATTAAAAATTAGGAGCCCAATTAAAAAAGGCTTTTTAAAACCCTGAAAGTACGCTCCATCGATAAAGCCATGATAAAACTTTTCAAGTGGTCCCTAGAGCGATCTTATCTTTATTTTCAATTCACTTCTTTCCTACCGTAGTTTCCCAGACAATAGCGCGCTAAACTTGAAATTCAAAATAATTTTTTTTTTCCTTTTGTAGCCTCTTTTTGTAATCGTTTCTCTTCAGATCTCTTTTTTTACCTATCAAAATTGTCATTTTCTGTTCCGATTTCATATAATGTCTTCCTTGATGTACTGGTATTCTATATAATCATTATTTATTCGTTTTTTTAAAATAAATTTTTCATTATCACTTTTTTTATTGCTGCAAGCACTTCATGGAAAAAAAAAGTGAAATTACTAACCTTCTGGTTTTTTTCGCAGTAAAGATGCTCTATGGATGTACATTGAAATCAGCCTTTTTTTGGCTAGATTTATCGATTCAAATATTTTTTTAGCCGATAAAATCTGATGCGAGCTTTTTTTGCCGGCCTTTCTATCATTGAAAAAAAATCAGAATTTCTTAAAAATTTTCATGCGACAGATTTTTTTTGTATTTTTTATCATCTTCATTGATACAATGGGACTAAACTACGACATTCAGAGGTAAATTGGTTGCACCCCGAGGGTCGCAAGTGGAATGACTCGAAGTGTAGGGGTCCATCTGGAGTGCGTCCGACTCGAAACGACTTGAGCATAAATGCATCAAAAATTGGTATAACAAGTTGACAGTGGAAGAAAATATGGAAGAAACAAGCTGCACCTATGTGCATCGAAAAGCAGGGAAACAAAATAAAGAGTCGCAACGCGACCGCGACGCTTCGAGCCATTCCAAGTGCGACCAATTCGGGGCTCATGAAGTGAGACCTTCAAATCGGAGCAATCGAAATGCGCTGGTTCGAGCTGCTGTGGATGCCAGAGGTGCTGGTGAGGTGGATAAGGGCGACTCGGTTCTGTCGGATCCCGAAAATGCCGAGGACGAACTGGCGGTACGGGTTGACGACGATGAGCAGCGACAGAGAGGCCCAGATGCCATGGGTGGTCATGAGGAAGGTCGAGAGGTTGTTCAGGTCTGCAAAGAGATCACTTAAGAGCTAGCCAGCAATGGCTATAGCTGATTCACGGCCAGCTTGGGACGCCAAGGGGGCGTGTCCGGTCTGCGCTCTCCACGAGCCAGGCGCTTCTCGTGCATTATCGTGTCAGGACCATTTTTTCGATGGCTCAAGCCAGCCGTGAAGCAGCTATAACTGGGAATTCGAGAAAACGAAAGATTCTTGGATTTTTAACGTTCAGGAGCTGTAAAGAACACATTTACGAACTGAAGCCCCCAAAAAGTCCAGTGAATTTTTCAAAAACTTCTATCATAGGCGGAAGGAACCTTAGAGCGCCCGTTATGGATGCGAAGGGTCCTGAAAGGGGGGCAATTTTACTGCCATTTTCCGCCCTTTTATCGGCCCTAATCTACCCTTTTTGGACCCTTTTGAGAAACAAAAATCTTTGACTGTGTATTAACCAAATCAGGCTACAGTAATAAAGTCGGAAATCATCATTTTCTGAGTCTTTCAGCACCCTTTTTACGCCTTTTTTTCACCCTTTTTTGAGACTTTAGCCAACCAAGAAAGAAAGGCTCGAAAAAGGCCGCAAAAAAGAACCCTTTCAACACCCTTTTCGCACCCTTTTTGCACCCTTTTTGAGGCTATTTTAGAAAGAAAGGCTCGGTAAAGGCCGCAAAACGGAATCCTTTTTGCGTCCATTTTGCACCCGTTTTGGCAGTGTATCATATCCTGGACTTAAAATCCACCAAAATAACCGTTTTGAACCTTAAAAGTGCCGAAAAAAGCTGTAAAAGGTCATAAAATCTCGTCTCTAGCTTGCTCCATTGAACCAAGTTACCATTTTTGGAACCCCTGACCTACCCAAGTTCGAGCTGGTAACGCCGGTAATTGCAACATAAAGCGCGATGACATTTTTCGGTTGGTAGGCGAAGACCCAAGGGACGATTTCCTTGAGAAAAACTCTAAAACTTCAAAATAGGTATTCTGAAACCTGAATCAAAACGGCTTTGAAGAACTTCTTCTGCAGAAGTCTTGTACTCTTGGAGATCATTAGGATCTCATGAGGCTTACGGAGCGTCCTGGGACCATTTAAAGATTAATTTTCATTAGTTTAGCAACCAGAAGGTTCCGATCGAGTAGAAGAGAGTTTCCGAAACTCCCAAGACGACGATGCCAAGGAGGACGTATTTCAGAGGGCCATAGACTTGTTGGGCGAAAAGGAAGGTCTCGGGACGGTTCAGTTCGACGGCAAGGCAGGGGTACATCTGAAATCGTTTCTTTTTTTTCGCGACGGGATATCTTTTGCAGAGGAAGCGATGCGCCTTTAACTTTAACGCGATTCTTTTTTTTTTAAGAATCATTTTGAACAAGAAATAGTTGTTCCAAGATGAATGAAGAAAAAATAACAAAGTAACTAATGGGATCAAAGCCGAAAGAAGCCCTCGAAAGCCAAAATTTTTCAAAATTCATTCCGTCAATTTAGTAATTGTGTGTTTCGATTTTGATTGGAATCCGGTAAAATAGGCCATTCGACCCTCAGGAATCGGGAAGTTGGGCCAGTTGGGACTTTTAGAACATTAAAATAACACACACAAGAACTCGGTGTGTGGCCGAGCCTTTCAGCACCCTTCTTGCACCGAAATTCGGTAAAATAGGCCATTTTTAGATATTTTCTCAGAAATCGGGAAGTTGGGTCAGTTGGGACTTTCAGAACACTAAAAGAACACACATAAGAACACGGAGTGTGGCCGAGCCTTTCAGCACCCTTTTTGCACCGAAATCCGGTAAAATAGGCCATCTTCAGATTTTTCGACCCTTAAGAAGTTGGGCCAGTTGGGTCAGTTGGGACTTTTAGAAAACTAAAAGAACACACACAAGAACTCGGTGTGTGGCCGAGCCTTTCAGCACCCTTTTTGCACCGAAATCCGGTAAAATAGGCCATTTTCAGATATTTTCTCAAAAATCGGGAAGTTGGGTCAGTTGGGAGTTTTAGAACACTGAAAGAACACACACACGAACTCGGGTAAAATTAAACAAATTCCCAATTACAAATCAAAATTATCTGGAAGCTCTTGGAATGTTTAGAGCCATAAAACGTCCCGCGCTAATACGCACAATATGGCGTGTTTTTCTCACCTTGGTATACTGTTGCTTGACAGCAGTCTGATCGGTATCCGCGAAAAGGATCATGGGAACGGCCAAGTTGGTGAAGAACACCAGCCTCGCGATGAACACGACCAGCCGAATTTTGTTGTTGATCTTGAAGATGGAATACGGAGGCATCGCGACGTTGAATCGGTTCTCCAGCATTGAGATGGTAGAAGCAACGACTCCTGTAGAAAAAATGGGCTTGATAATTTGATCTGCGCTCCGTGGAGTAAACCTCCCAGGACGCTCATCTGAAGGTGGTACTGGACATAGGGAGGGACGCCTAAATAGTTCAAAAAGCCATTGGCAGAGGTGCCACCGGCCGGGGAGCAGTTCACCGGAACCACAAGGATCGCCACGACCAGTTCGTTAAGGAAGAGCCTGAGAATCGGGACAATTATTGATTGCTTTCGACGCTTAGAGCCATTCCACGTCTGGAACTTTCTAGAGCCTCAAGAACTTAGGAAACTCAGAGTGGTCCCTATAGGGGTTGGAGAGGAGAACAGCCTTATTAGGGCCGAAAAAGTGGTCCCTCTAGAGGTTTATGGTCTGACTCCTTAGCCCCTAAAACTTAAGTGGTCTCTATAGGGTTTGATGTTGAAAAACAGTCCTATGAGGGTGGAAAAAGTGACCCTTCTAGGGTTCTGGTGTCTAACTAAACTAACTAAAACTCCTACAAGGACCACCTTTTCAAGCTTGAGTGGTCCCTATAGGGGTTTAGGGTATGACCCCTTAAAATTAAGTGGTCCCTACAGGGGTCGTTCAATTTTTTTCAAAAAAAGTTATGTTTTTCATTTTTTCGCAGGGAACTAGCATGACTCCTACAAGTAATTGAAAGCTCTATAGGGACCACTTTTGTGAGCTTTAGTGGCCCCTAAAGGGGACCTTCCAAGGACCCCTATAGAGACCCCTCTGAAGTTCCCAGGATCCTGACTCAAAAAATGGTCGCATTTGAAATGGTTTAAGGAGTAACTGTTACGTTCTTTTTTTTAATTGCTTGATTTCTGGTTTTCGAAAAGCAAAACCAATCGAAGTGGTCCCTAGAGGGCTTCGAGTTTCATGATTACTCGGAGCGGAGATTAAAAATCTTTAGAAGAAATGTTTACGAGCTCCAAAGCAAACTTCCTTTTTTAGAACTTTCTGCAATTTTATAAAAACTTTCAAAAAAGGTACCAAAAGATCTGATGGAGGAGCATTTTGCGGAAGTTTTTCATGGCCGCCGTCGAATGGAAGATGACGCAGTAGGTGATGAAGCAGAGCAAGGGCGTTTGAAACATGAAAAGGATCTTCATGGCCAGGACGTACTCCTCCTTGTGGTACTCCGGGCATTCCATTTTGCCGGACCTAAAAAGTTAACATCAAAAAGAAATTCTGAGAGCTGAAAATTCGCCTACAAGTGCGCTCCATTGACAATTCACGTCAAAGTTTTTAACTTTCAACTTTTCGTGTGTAAGTTGGAAGCTCAGTAATAGAATTGGACGCGCCAAGGCCTTTTCTGAGCATTTCTAGTTGTCCCTATAGCGGCGTCTTAAGTGATCCCTAGAAATTCTCAGAAAAGTCAAGAAACGGACGTGTCGGGGCGAATCTAGAGACCACTTCAGTAGCGTCCGCACTCTTAAGTGATCCCTAGGAATCCTCAAAAAGTCAGGGACGAGAGCTCGGACATTGGTAACGGGAACCGGACGTGTTGGGACATTTCTAGTGACCACTTAAGTAGCGTAAATTATGCCTAGGAGGCTCTGAAAATAACTCCAAAAAGGGATGACTCAAGTGCGCTCCATGGATAAATTCAGCGATTTTTGCTCAGGCGAAACGGACATGCTTTGATCGTTTTTGAGCAATTCTAGGGATCACTTAAGAGTGCTGGAGCTACTTTAGTGGTCCCTAGAAATTCTCTAAAAAGGACCAAAGCATGTCCGTTTCGCTTGAGCAAAAATCGCTGAATTTATCCATGGAGCGCACTTGAGTCATCCCTTTTCGGAGCTATTTTCAGAGCTTCCTGTGCATGATTTTCAAAAGCCTTCTCAAAAATATACAGTTCAATGCACTGAAAGTAAAGGTACAAAAAAGAAAGAATTTTTGATAAAGGATAAAATAAAAACTAGCCCGAAAACCAGCTGATTCCAACTCTCACACACGCATTTTTTCATCCGGAACATGTCAAAAGTTCGTGGGGAAATTCGTTTTTCGCTCATTTTTACAACAAACTATAGAAAAACATAATCTAAACTAGTGAACTCTCGCAAATAAACTCTCTAGAATGATGAAGGGAATATAACTGATTGGATTCATCAGCGGCGCGCTAATTGTTTCCCAGGAAAAAAGGGCAGTTCTATAGGAATCAACTAATTTGTTAATTATGACAAATCCTGCAAAAACTATTCCAAGAGGTCCCTGGAGGGATTTGACATTTTACAGTAGGAAAAAGGGAAGTTCGGTCTTTGTTTGGATTGATCAATTGAACTTGGAGATTCGTAATTTTGCGGGAAAACAAGATAATTTAATGAATGGCTGGGAAAACATTAAGTGACCACTATAGAGGCTCCACAAGGACTTCTTGAAGAGGACACTAAAGTGGCCACTAAACCCACCCCTATAGAGGCCACTATTTTCCGTGTTAGTGGCCACTATAGAGGTTATACATTTAATGGCCATTTCAGTAGTTTTTCATCCAGTATTCCTTCCAGTAACTCTTTATAAAAAAACAGATTAAACCAGTTATGTCGATCCAACAACCCCTAAAGTGGCCACTAAAATTTTTAGTGGTCTAGTAGTACCGCTTAGAACTCTATAGTGGCCATTAACTTTTAACCCCTCAAGTGGCCATTAATTCGACTACTATAGTGGCCACTAAAACGTCGAAACCCTATAGTGGTCACTAAAAATTGTCCCAAAAAATTTGAGTTAAAAAAAAAATATTTTAAAAACTGCAAGATTCTTGCTCCATGTAACACCAACATAGAAAGCGTTTTCAAGTTTTAAACATCAAAAATAGGAAAAAAAAACCAGGAAAGGCTCAAATTTACGCAAATAGAATAAACTTCACGCCCTTCTGCTCTTATTAACCAAAAAACATGACGATTTTGCCAAAGTACGAAAAGTGACAACAAAAAAAAAAAGTTTCTTCCTTAAAACTTATCTAAAAAAGAAAAAAAGGTAAAAATTATCTCCTTGAGGGGATCCGAACTCTGGTCATGAGCTTCGCGATCTGGGGGGCTCAAAAATCTTGTAAAATTAAAAAAAAACTCGGGCTTCTCCTTGTGAATTTTCGTAAAATGCTCTCCTCACCACTAGTTTTTTCATAAAAAAGTAATATTTAATAATTTAATTTTTTTTTATTTTCCCAACATTTTTAAAAAAAAGGGTTCTTACTGTCAAACTACGTAAGGGTAGCACTTGAAAAAAACCTAAATCTTCAAAAATGTTAAAAATTGAAACTTCCAAGTTCTTCAAAAAATATTCTATACTGGGAAAACTTTTAGTGGCCACTGTAGTAGTCAAATTGATGGCCACTTAAGGGATTAAAAAAATTAGTGGCCACTATAAAGGTCTCAGTGCTACTACTAGACCACTTAGTGGCCACTTTAGGGGTCAATGGATCAAAATAACTGGTCCAATATGTTTGTTTTAAAATTATCAGATTTATTGGAAGGAATACTGAATGAAAATCTACTGAAGTGGCCACTGAAACGGAAAATAGTGGCCACTATAGAGGTGGTTTTAGTGGTCACTTTAGTGTCCTCTCCTTGGCGAGTCTCTATAGTGGCCACTCCCAGTTCATCACTTTCTTGAAAATAACATAACTTTTTAAATTCTGAAAAAATTTACTGTAGAAACTTTTTTTGAACTTTATTTTTTTGGCAAATTTTTGGATGAAGAAAGTTTGGTGCTACGACAAGAGCGAGTTTTCCATTTTCGGGGAGTACTGTATGCGAAAAATGCGCATTGAGTGCATACACTTTCGTTGCGTGACGTCACCGGGTAGGAAATTTCCGGGTTTTTTTGTTTCGAATATTTTTTTCAACTTTTTTTTTTGCTTTTTTTCAAGATTTGCATTTTTCTCTAGGATATTCGCACGATAAAAAAACAGTATCAAGAAAAAAAAATTGAAGAATATTCGAAAAAACTCGGAAACAAAAAAACACCCGGAGATGTCCTACCCGGTGACGTCACGCAACGAAAGTGTATGCACTCAATGCGCATTTCCGCATACAGTACTCCTCGCAACTGGAAAACTCGCTCTTGTCGTAGCACCGAAAGTTTGGCTCTGGGGGTTATTTTGTACTCTGAATCGAATGGCACTCGCAGATTTTGGATATCTATCCAAACTTTGACAGAAAGTCCGAAATCGATGGGGGTTCCTATCCCGCGGTGTATAGAAAATTAATTAGGGAGCTTCTAGACTAGACTCTAATTTTTCACGCCTTTCCGAGTCCCTGAACTTTCCCTCAATAAACAAAATTGTCCCTTTTCCTAGTATTTCCGATTTCAAAGACCACGATTGGAAAGGAAGTTGACATTTTACAACTGGAGTATTGTTTGCGAAACTTGATCCGGTCCAAGGGAAAAAAGACAATTTGCATACTGATATTTGATCTTTCACGGAGCCCAAAGAGACACTAGAATCGAGTTTCCTGGAAAATCGCCAAAAAATCTGATGTTCGACATTTTTTGAAATATGCAGAGAACGTAAAGAGAGGAAAGTTTTCTCGTTTCTCTAACGTCTCTTCAAAGTCCATGCTCTCTCACTTCTGGATAGAGATGAATGTAAAGAGACGCCAGAGAAAAAAATTCTCTCGTTTCTCTAAACTCTCTTCAAAGTTCATGCTCTCTAGCTTTCGGATGGAAATGATGCTCTGAATCGATTTAGAAAACTGTCAAGTGGTTACTTTAGTAGATAATAAAAATACTCCACCATTCTCGCTTCAAAAACGCCTTTTCGGCGAAAACCAGTTTGAGTCGGGCGCAACGATGTTATTTTATCTGCTCTTATAGAACTTATTATCATGAGTCCGAGGGAAAAAATCGTCTTGTTCGAGCGAAAACTGGCTTTTTTTTAATATGGCCGCATTTGGAATGACTTCAAGCGTCGCGTTTCGTCTTTGACTTTTCCCTGTACTTTAAGAAAGAAAAGTAATAATTTCTGCTATTCCTCAAAAAAAAAAATTTTCATGCTATGGCCACACGGGGAATGGTTGGATGCGTTACGGTCGCGCTGTGGTCTCGAGAGAAAAAAAAAACTGCCCTGTTCAAGCGAAAGCTGGCTTTTCTTTAGTATGGCCGCATTTAGAATGGCTTGAAGCGTCGCAGTCGCGTTGCGCTTTTAAATTTTCGTTGTTATTCGAGAATTTATTCCCTTAAAAAAGACTTTTTCAGGCCATGACCGCATTTGGAATGGCTTGACGCGTCGCGGTCGCGTTGCGTCATCAGATTTTCGCAGTACATCAAGAAGGGAAAACAATATTTTAAGCTGTTCTTCAAAAAAAACGCCATGACCGCATGGGGAATGGATAGATGCGTTGCGGTTTTATTTTCCAGAATACATTCCGTTATTTTTTTTTCACGGATGTTCACCGCCATAACCGCACTTGGAATGGCTATTTTTGCCCTTTTTCATGAACTAGGCCTTCAGCTTCTTCATTTATCCGTTCAATCCCGAACAAGTGCTAATTTCACGTTATGACCGCACTGGGAATGGCTCGGAGCCCTTCCTAACGCGAGCATTTAGTCTTCCTTGTTCTTGTATCAAATAGGGGTGGTGATCTGACTATGGGTTGCGGAGCTCTTGGAGAACAGGTTGACAGGTTTCGGGGTTGGACGAATGCCCAGAGATTTGCGGATAAAGTCTCGGTATGGCTTGATGAGGATGAGAAGGGTGATTGAGGACCAGATTCCGTGGGCGGTCATCAGGAAGGTCGACAGGTTGTTCATGTCTGGAAATGCGCGGTTTTTTCTCTTGAAGATCATTTTGGAAGGGTCTAAGTTTGTTCTCCATTTTTTGGGATCGTTTGGTCGCATTTGGAATGGCTCGAAGAGCGTAAATATTCCAATTTTAATGATTCTGAGGATTTCAAAGCCAACTGTTGTGTGGACAGCCATTCTCTTTTTAAAAAAATAAAACTCCCTTCTTTTTTTCTCCTAGACATTCAAGTTTACTACATGTTTTCAAGATAAATAATACGCCAACTGATGGATTTTTGAGAAAAAAAAGGAGAAAAACCAACTCAAGCTTGTCTGGGCGGTAAGAGTCCCAAAAATGCTGATCATATTTTTAGGCATGTAGGCCAGGAGCCACGGTACAAGTTCCTGAATTTCAAAAATTATCCTCCATTCTATTTCAAATTCAAAGGCCGCATTTGGAATGGCTCGCGTACATCGAAAGAGTCGCAACGCTTCGAGCCATTCCAAGTGCGACCTCAAAAAAAAATACCTGTATCAAAATCGCCTTGAAATAGCGCCTTTGAAGCTTCCTGGTGTTCTCCGAAACCTGCAGCTTCTCACAGGATTTACCAAGGGTCCTACAAGAAAAATCGTGGTCAAGACTACATTTTCAGGAAGTCCTACCAATAAGCTCCAAAAATGTAGATGAACATCTCAATGACGCAGATGAAGACGACGACTTGATTGAAATATTTCAAAGGACCCGAAATCGACTGAGGAAACATGAAGATCTCCTTGCGTTGGAGCTCCACGGCGACGCAGGGGTACTGCTAAAATTAACGAAATCCTTGATTCCGGTTCTGATGTTCTCACCGCTATGTACTGGTTCCGGGTGTTGGTCATGTCCTCCTCGGCGAAAACGATAATGGGAACGCCCAGATTTATCAGCAGAGCCGACCTCACGATGAACCACACGTATCGAACTTTGTTGGGGAGTTTGCAAATGGAATAGGGTGGAAGGGACATGTGGAAGCGGTTCTCTAGGAGGGCCATCGTTGAGGCGACGACTCCTGGGAAAAGTTCATTCAGTTTTGAATTTGGGGTCGCAATGGGAATGGCTCAGAATGCGTCGCGGCGTGAGTCGTTCAAAGGTCTCCACTTCCAGACTCGGGCCATTAGGGAGAGACTCAAAAAAAGTCGCAAAAAGACCGCAAAAAGGCCTCGAAAAGGCTGCAAAAAGGCCACAAAAGGGTCGCGAAAGGGCAGCATAAGGAGTCTCTAACAAACCTTTCATTTTTCTAGAACTGTAAAGGCTCAAGAAAAGGCCGCAAAAAGGCTGCAAAAAAGACGGAAAAGGCCGCAAAAGGCCTCAAAAAGGCAGCAAAGAGACTCCCTATACCGAACCTTCCCTTGGTGGAAAAGGGGTTCAAAAGAGCCAACAAAAGGCCACAAAAGGACTGCAAAAAGGTCGCAAAAAGGCCGCAAAAGGGCAGGAAAAAGGCCTCAAAAAGGCTGCTAAAAGGCAGCAAAAAGGCCGCAAACGGGCCGCAAAAAGGCAGCAAAAGGGCAGCAAAAAGGCAGCGTCCCTATACCGAACCATAAGTCGCTATACCGAACCTTCCATTTTTCTAGAGAAACAGTGGAAAAAGGGTTCATAAAAGCCGATGAAATGGCGCAAAAAAGGAGCCTCTGTCACCCCTTTTTCCTTGGAGTTAACATTTTTCGAGCCGCGACGCCTCCTAACCATTCCAAATGCCGCCGCATTTTTCTCGACTCTCACCTCCAACAGAACAAAAGTAGAGATAGTATTGAATAATGGGCGAGATTCCCAAAACGTTTAAAAATCCGTTGAAAGACGTGGCGCCGACCGGGGTACACATGACCGGAATCACCAGGATGCCCATAATAAGTCCGCTTATTTGCAACCTTAATAGTTATTTTTGAAATTGCATTATCTTTTTCAGGGCTCCGAACACCTTCAAGCTCAACGCGTTGCGGCCAAAGCGCACCCGACCAAAACCTACTTCCGCCCATAGCATAACCCGACAACTGGAAACGCAGCGCGACCGCAACGCGTCGAGATCCATTCCACCTGCGACCAACTCACCAAACGACCTGATGAAAGAGCATTTTTTTGAACGTCGCCATGGCGGCGGACGATTTGAACAGGATACAGTAACCCATAAATGCGAGGATTGGCGTTTGAACGTAGAATAATATATTCATTCCGGAAATGAAGATGGATTTTTGGTAGGTCGGGCATACGGTAGACGACATTGGTTACTGTAAGTTGCAAAGTTTTTATTTTTACTGGGTAGGTCGGGCATACGGTAGACGACATTGGTTACTGTAATTTGCGAAATTTGTTATTTTTGCTTCCGGGTCTGTATTTTTTTGGGTACTGTAACTAATCAAATAGAGTACTGTAGCTCTTATTTTTAAATATTGATTCCCAACGTAATCCCGCTTTCAACGACGTCAAATTGCAGACCAAACTGATCAAAAATATACCGTAATCCACTTTTTTAATATTTTCGAAAATTGATGACTTTCCAAGGTTTTTTCAAATACATTAATGACGGTAAGGTGATTGATTTTGAATTATTGTCGCCACTTTTTGGAATCTCCGCATTCAACGACGTCAAATTGCGGACCAAACTCGACAAAAGGATACCGTAATCCACTTTTTTTGAGATTTTCGAAAATTGATGATTTTCCAAGGTTTTTTTAAATATGTTGAAGACAGTAAGGTGGTTGAACTTGGATTATAATCATCCCTTTTTGGGAATTCCGCATTCAACGACGTAAAATTGCGGACCAAACTCGGCAAAAAGACACCGTAATCCACTTTTTTGGATTTTTGAAAATAGATAATTTACAAGGTTCTTTCAAACATATTAATGGCAGAGAGGTGATTGAACTTGGATTATCATCATCCCTTTTTGAGAATTCCGCATTCAACGACGTCAAATTGCGGACCAAACTCAACAAAAGGATACCGTAATCCACTTTTTTGAGATTTTTGAAAATTGATGATTTTCCAAGGTTTTTTCAAATATTTTAATGACAGTAAGGTGTTTGAACGCCACTTTTTGGAAAAACTAAGCTGTAAGACCCTAAAATGAACTTAAACTATGATAAATTACTTCCTAAAGTTTTCAAAGAAGAAGGAACAGGAAATTCAATGAAACAGGAATGAAAGGAGCTGTCGGAGAAGCACCATATAAACACAATGGCGTGGGGAGTTGCCATCTTTTTTTCAAGTTGTAGAACAGATTAATTAACCGAACAAAAAGCGATGACATAGAGAGCCGGACGAAATGATTCAGTCCATTGATAATTAGTCTCACTAACTAGGTAATTATTTAATCCCTTCTTTCTGGATTCTTCCCTGCACTTCCATGGTAACAATGAGTATGTTTCGATACTGAGAAATTGTTATTGAAGTGTTAATTAGTTATGACGGCTTTAATTATGACCGTATACTTTTTTCGCAATAAATTCAGTATTGCTCATGCAAAAAGGTTGAGAGCTTATGTATCCCTTTTAGAGTGTTCCCTATAGGGGTTTGGGGAAAAAGAGCCCCTATAGGGGTAAAATCAAGGTGATCCCTATAGGGGTTTTGGGTCTGACCCTTTAGCTCCTTAAGCTTAAGTGCTCCTTTTAGGGGTTTTGAGTCTGACCCCATAGCCGCTAAACCTCAAGTGATCCCTAGAGGGTTTTTCCAATTTTATTCGAAAAAAACGCTTATTTGTTCAGTTTTTCGCATGGAAAAGCTTCTCTTCGCTCAGAATTCATAACAAGTAACTAAAACCCCTACAGGAACCACTTTTGCAAGCTTCAGTGACCCCTACAGGGGTTGCTAAAGTGGGCCGGTTGCCCCTATAGGGACCAAAGTTTTGACTGGGAAAAAATGTTGAAACTACAGTAAAGTTCCGCTAATTGTTTCAAAATCATTCAAAAATGGAATTTTTCAGTTTTTTGAAAATTAGGTGACTTTTGATAGCTGACTGTGAGCAAGTTTCACTAAAAATTCAAAGTTTTATTATTTTGAATGACTAAATTATTTTTCTTCATCTGAAAACGAACTTTCCATCCTAAATTGAGATTCTGAAGTTGATAAAAAAACTAACAGATCTCTTGATTCTCCAAATTTATACATTAAATGAAAAAAACTTGATTTTAAGTTCTATGAGCTTAACTGTGATTCTTATCACAACGAGTCGGAAGATTTTGTTAATAAGAAAAAAAAATTCGAATAAAACTCAAAGAGTTCTATTTTTCTCTGAACTTAGAAGCATTGAAGGAATGGAGAAGTTTCCTTCAGAAAGCTTTTTTTAGAAATGGAAAAAAAGTCATAATATTTCTGAAGCGATTTATTTTTTTATTCTTGTCGTAATAAGTCTATAAAAAAAGCTCTCAAATTAGTTAATTCGAAATGATTCAAGGACTAATTCCGATACACAGAAACTTTAAATTCTAAGAAAATCAAGTCGTTTATTGTCATCAACGCTTCTTTTTGAGCTAATAAAAAGGGAGGATTATTTTTCTGGTTCTTGGAAACCGGAATTAATTGAATAAACTTGATGAGAGTAATTTTATGAAATTAAATTTCAATTTAAACTTTAATTTCTCATTTTCCTATTTCGGAAAAAATACATGATTCCCGCTTCAAAAGACATGTCCTTTCGAAAAGGTTTTTATCGTTTCAAAATAACCCTGAAAGTACAATTTTGCAAGGTTTCAAACTTTGTTCTTTCGCCTTCCAAGTCAAATGAAACCTCTAAAAAAATCCCTTTTTCAAGTCCCTAGTGAGCGAAATGTATAGCTTAACCCAACTATTAAAAGTTTCTAAAAAAAAATGGAAATTATAGTGAAAAAAGGGCTCAAAAAGTTGGGACGACAGAAAAAATTGGCACGTCTAAAGGTATTATTTTTTTGAATTTCGAGGTTGACGGCGGTTGTCTCGGTTAAAATTATAATTATATATATATATAATTTCCAAGTCTACTGTAACTTTTTTTCAAAAAGGGCGAATTTTTATAGACAACGTCATTAAATACATGGTGATCACTGAAAAAAGAGATATTCCAAGATTTCAAAACTTGAAAATTACTAAATTAACATAGACGGATTGATAAAAACTCCCATAAATTTTTTTGAGCTTTCCCATAAACAAGGAAAAATTTGAATACAATTCGTAGGGGGTCAAAAAAACGGGGCGAGACAATTTTTCACATAGGGAATTTTTTTCAACCTATTTTCCTCAAAAATTCAAAGCTTGTTGATCTATAAATTTGTACGGGTGTGGGAAAATTTTTCGCATCCAAACTTTGGAGTTTGGGTCCTTGATTATCAGATTGAATAATTCAGTTTTAAGCTTAGAATTTTTCATAACTATTATTTTTTTACAAAGTCCAAAAAAAGCCCTTGAAACATGGGCATACGTGGGCTAACAGGCTGTTTTTTTCACTTTCGGGCCCCCCTATTCATTCAGATGGCTTTCTAAGCCGCGGAAAAATGCATCCATATTATTTATCGAGCTTTTTTTAAAGTACATTTAGTGAGAAATTCGTTGCCTATCTTTTTGCCTAGCTCCAAACGGTAGAAAAAAAATCGAGAGGAATCGTAGAAATAGCCTTATAAAAAATTCCAGAGCTGATTAATCGACCTGAATTCTAGTTTAAATGGTACCAATGGATGATATATACATGCTCATCAAATTTTAAGCCGTTTGGAAAATTGAAAAAAATAATCAACTTCTGACCCCATAAGAAAATGATTTCTGGAAATCTACAATTTTTTGGCTCAAAATCAATATTAATCTTGAGTTAACTCTGAATAAGGTATATCCTCCAAATTTCCAACCTTCCGGACGTTTTTTGACCAAGTTACAGTGTTTCAAAGCGTTATCACTTGACGGTTTGCGTACCCCCCCGTACTCCCCCAAAATCGGAAAGTCGATCTGTTTTCAATTTTATTCCACATTATAAAGGGAGTTTTATGATCTGGCCAAGTTTCAGGTCGTTGGGATGAGTTTTGAGGAAAATAGATTTTTGGACCACCGGGAAGTGATATTTGAAATTTTGAATTTTTTCCTCGTTTCGTTTTGCAAATGACCTAGTGGATGTAAGAATGCGCGTTGATCACGATTTTGCTAGTTTCAATCCAAAAAAACAGGAGATAAAAAAGTTATTCGGGAAACTTACCCAAAATCACATGTTTTTTGGAATTTTCGGGTGTTAGATGGAAAATTCGAATAATCCATGTTTGACTCAATAAAGAGTACTTTTTTTGTGGTTTTGAAAAACTCTGTAATATGAGCAATAATGAGCAAAATGAGGTTTAAGATTTTTAAAAATTGAATAAGATTATATTGCACCTTATTACAAACTTTGGATGAGTTTCGTCGATTTTATGTCAAGATATAGATTTTTGAAGGGTTCTACCGTACCTCTTTTTTTGAGCCACAGTATCTCGAAAACGGCTTGAGTGATGATATTCGGTTTTTTTTTTCAAAAAATCCTAAAAAATCGTGTTCTACAACATGTTTGATTTAGAGAAAGTTTCACCCTAACGCTCATTTTTTTTCAACTCACCCTACGGCGTTACCACACATGTGAACGATAAAAAAATACAAGTTTAACAATTAAAAAAACTAGCAAAATCGTGATCAGCATACATTCATACATCTACTGTGGCCCAAAAATCTATTTTCCTCAAAACTCATCCCAACGACCTGAAACTTGGCCAGATCATAAAACTCCCTTTATAATGTGGAATAACATTGAAAACAGATCGACTTTCCGATTTTGGGGGAGTACGGGGGGGTACGCAAACCGTCAAGTGATAACGCTTTGAAACACTGTAACTTGGTCAAAAAACGTCCGGAAGGTTGGAAATTTGGAGGATATACCTTATTCAGAGTTAACTCAAGATTAATATTGATTTTTGAGCCAAAAAAATTCAAAAATTTCAAAATATCCCTTCCCGGTGGTCCAAAAATCTATTTTCCTTAAAACTCATCCCAACGACCTGAAACTTGGCCAGATCATAAAACTCCCTTCATAATGTGGAATAACATTGAAAACAGATCGACTTTCCGATTTTGGGGGAGTACGGGGGGGTACGTACTTTTTCGAGGGGAGTACGTACTTTTTCAAGGGGGGTACGTGATGACGTCACAAAAAGTAGTTGGTTAGCCCATGTATGAACATGGGCTATTGATCACTATAAAAAAATTTTCAATTCAAACTTTTATGTGTTTTTTTTGGAATAGGAAGTTATTTTTTGGTTCAATCACTGTACAGACCACAAAACTTACCTAGGAAAACAAAATGAAAAAAATTCAAATTTTTTTCATTCCCTTCACGTCATTTCTTACTAGTTAGAAAATCTCCTTCCTCTACTTTTTGAGCTTTGAATAGCATGGGAATGACCGGAAGGTCCGCTTCACATAAACATTGGAGTCTCAGATTGTTGGTCATTCAAAAATTAGTATCTTTATAATTTCCAAGGAGTTAGGAAGAATTCACAAAAAAAAAAGAAACTTTTAGTTCCACTACAGAGGCTCGCCAAGGACTACTTGGAAAGGAAACTAAAGGGGCCACTATTTTCCGTTTTAGTGGCTATAGGGTTCTCTATTTAGTGGCCACTTCAGTAGTTTTTCATCCAGTATTCCTTCCAGTAATTCTGATAATTTCAAAACAAACAGATTGGACCAGTAATGTAGATCCATTGGTCCCTAAAGTGGCCACTAAAATTTTAGTAGTCTAGTAGTAGCACTTAGACCTCTATAGTGGCCACTAATTTTTAACCCCTTAAGTGGCCAATAATTTGACTACTATAGTGGCAATTAAAACGTCAAAACCCTATAGCGGCCACTAAAAATTTTTCCCAGAAACTTTCCCTCGAATAACGCTCCTACTGCATTTTTGCAGACTGACTTGAAATAGTGAAATTTGAAAAAAATTTCTTCTTATTTTGACGATTTTTTTCGAATCAAACCTGAAAAATGCAAAAATTTATTGAAGGTTCACAATTTCAAATTTAAAAAAACTAGAAAAAAAAACAGCTTCAAAAAAACATAAAAAAAGAATCATTTTACAAACCTAAAAAATCGAAAATTTTGTGAATATATTTTCTGAAAATTTTTAATTCTAAAAAAAATCAATCAAAGATCTAGTAGTCAACTCACGACTGGCTTGTTCATTTTTGGAAAGAAGACGATTTTTGCGCAAAACTGTGCGAAAAGGTTGTGGTTCTACGCAATCGCCAAATATCCAAATATTCTCTGTAACAAGCTAGCGGTGATTGGGACAAAATCGGGAGGATTTAAACCGAAAAGACGGAAGAATTGGTTCGGATCTCGATGACGTTGTTCCGACGGCACAGGAGGAGGCCGAGGAAGAACTCCCGGTAAGGTTTGACGATCAGGAGAAGGGAAATCGAGGCCCAGATGCTGTGCGTCGTCATCAGGAACGTCGACAAGTTGTTCAGGTCTGAAAATAGTTCATATCTTATGAAAATTTTATCGAACTGTCTTTAGAACCCTTAAAATAACAAATTATTCCACAATTTCAAAGTATTTCATAAAGATGTATTAAATAACATAGCTGAGTTTCAAAAAAAAAAAGAAAAAAAAGAAATTAGAATTTTTTTTTTCAACGTACACTTACCACGCTGTCTCTGTAATTGTCAAAAACAACGGGCACAAAAAAGTTTTTTTTTTTGATTCTGATGAAACTTCATCCAGTGATAACCCATCATCAGAAATACGGAAGCAACTTTTTGAGCCATTTCCTCTTACTGTAGCGGGGTTACTGTAGGCACCAGCGTATCTAAGCATTGAAGAGTTTTTACTAGGCAAGTGATATATCAATCGATAGGTAGTCCAATTTCAGGAACTTTTACAATACATACCATCTTTGGTTACTGTAGGAATTTTCGAGTTACGGTAATTTTTGTGTTTGGAAAGTCGGTTTTTCGGTAACTCTGGACGCGAGGAGTAACCCAAGATGGAATGTACTGAAAAAATTCCTAAAATTGCATCACCTATCGATTGATATACAACTTGCCTAGAGAAAACTTTTCAATTCTTAGATACGCAGGTAACCACCTTCCTACCGTAACCCGGTTACGGTTAGAGGAAATAGCTCAAAAAATCGTGTTTTCAATCCTGACGTCATATGATAACACTGGTTGAAATTTCAATGAAATCAAAAAAAAATTTTTTTTTCTGTACCCGTTGATTTTGAGAATTACAGAGAATGCGTGTTAAATGACCATACAGTAGTCTGTTCAGATTTTATATGTCAAGTACAATGACGTCATTCAGAAAGGCTCTCTGAATGGCTCGCTCTCTGATTGGTTCATCCACCAATTAAAGCGGAGCTTAAACGACAATTCGACAATCAAAATCTGAACATACAAATTCAATTTTCGAATATTCATCATGAAAATAATTCACTGTAAAAGAAGCCGTTCTTAAAAAAAATCATCGTCATTTCCTCCAACTTTTTTTTATCTCATTTCAGCTTATATGGACTCACCTCCTAAACATATATAATTATTTTTACTAGACATTGATGACAAAAATTAGCCGATTACACCCCTTTGCAAACTCCAAACATTCTATTTTTAATGAACCCTTTCGACGAAAATTCAAAGAATATGGAACGTTTTTTTTATAATCACATACCTGAAACTTCTAATGTATAATTTGATGAACTACGTGGATAGCGTTTTTTTCTTTTGTCACCGGAGAAAACTAAAAAACTTACTCAAGCTCCCTTGACCCGTAATACTGCCGAAAATTATGATGAAATTCTGTGGTTGGTAGGCGATGAGCCACGGAGCAATTTCCTGAAACATGAATTACTGAAAAACTAAAAAATGAATCAATTCACCTGAACCAAAATGGCACGGAAAAACTTTTTCTGAAGCTGCTTCGTCGCCTCAGAAATCATCAACTCTTCGCTGGATTTTCTTAGAATCCTGAAACACGAATAGTTTAAAAAGTATTAAGAGAAACAACGAACCATACGACGCCAAAAGCGTAGAATAATGTCTCGAAAATCCCAAAAGAGACAACGCCGATGCTCAGGTACTTGTACAGCGCGTACACGTTTTCAGCGTAGAAAAAGGTCTCATTTCGGTATAGTTCCACAGCAAAACATGGCAGAATCTGAAATAATACGCAATTCAAGAAAAAAAAAAATAACAAAAAGAAAGAAAAAAATTAGGAGGACAATTTGGAAAAAAAAGAATGAACTGTGCGGCACTTGCTGTGGAAATCGCGCACTCCTTGCATTTTGTGGGAATTTCATTGAAAAAAAATTATTTGAAGAACTTTTTCGTTTTCTTATTGGTAAAAAGTTTGTTTTCGTACGTTAAGAGCTCCTCAGAGTTGGAAAAAAAAATTTCACCTCGTTTTTTTCTTGCAAAAAATTAATTGGTATTGAAAAAGTGAATTCGTTTTTTTATTCAATTTTATCGATAAATTACCTTAGCAAACTTCTCCTTGATCGAATTCTGATCGTCATTTGTGAACATGGTGAGTGGCAAAGCGAGGTTTGTGAAAAGAACCAGTCTCGTGACGTAAATAACTGCGCGGGCTTTGTCGGAGATTTTGAACATGGAATTTGGCGGCTGATAGCAGTAGAACCGATTCTCCAGCAGGGAAATGGTCGAAGCGACAACTCCTGGAAGTTTTTTTAAATTTTCTATAAAAAAACATTTTAATACCTCCCAAAACGCTGGTATCCAAGTGGTACTGAACATGGGGTGGTACATTCAAAAGGTTTAAAATTCCATAGGAAGAAATTCCGCCGATTGGCCTGACTGTTACGGGAACAACTAGCAGGGCTTTCACTGTCTGATTTATGAAGAGCCTGAATTTTGAATTTTTTGAGGTAAATTTGAAGGGGAAGCGGCTCCCGGTTGAGCTGTGAGGTACTTTAGAACCTTCTGTTTTGAAATAAATTGAGGAAAACTGCTTTTTTCGCTTTTTAGTACAGTTTTGAAGCTTCAAAGACGCCAAAATTGGTTTTTAATTTTGAAGTTCAAACTTTAGGGCGTTGTAACTTCATTAAGAATCAAAGCCCATTTTAAAAACGGTTTTAAGATCAGGAAGCCCTAAAATACTTCCCAGAAAATATTCTTCTCAACCGGTCACCTTTTCCTCTTCATTTTCCGCCCACTGACCATACAATCTGATGAAGAAGCATCATTTTGAAGGTGTTCATGGCGGGCGTCGACTTGTACTTGACGCAGTAGCTGATGAAGAGAAGGACCGGGGTTTGAACGACGAATAAAATGTGCATCCCGTAGACATAGAGATCCCTGTGGTACGGTGGGCAAACGGTAGTTGAAGACATGACGGAGGTTACTGTAACAGGGCAGCTCTTCAAAGGAGCAGAGCCGAATTTCATGAAGCTTTCGCGAAAAAAAAAGCCGTTTTCAGAAATATAATCGCCATAATTATGAGAAATATCCGCAATTTTTTCAAAAACTATGGCTTGAAGCTCTGTCTGCACGCACCCTGGAGAAAAAAAAAGTAATTGACCTATAAATTTTAGAGAAAAGAGGAAGTGAGAGTCTCAAGAGAATGATTACTTATCAGCAAACGCTTGCCTTGGAAAATATCAAAACGCGGAAGTCAGTTAAAGTCGGGCGCACTAGCTGATCATCCCCCGTTTAGTACTCAAATTTGGTAGAGAATTTGCTCACTATTAAATAAAGGATCAGTGTTCAAGATTTAGTGATAACCAAACATTTTGTTGAGAGACCAAACGTTTTCTTTTATTTTTATAATAATAAATGTTCCAGTGTACCTTATTTATTCCAAGAGAAAGTTGAAAAATGGTTTAATTTAGTTGTTAAAAGGCCAGGGGCTGAGATCTCAAGGGTGCGCCGCGAAGCTTTGCTCCTTTGAATGCGAAAGTCAGTTCAGGTCGGGCGCATGTTGATGTTCCACAAAAAATTTAAAAATTCATTCTCTAAAAGTCAAGAATTTACAGGACCAACATCACTATGACTTTTTTATAGCGTCAAGGGCCTTGAAATTTTTTGAATTTTCAAATTTCTAGGAAACTTGAAAAGGTTCTGTTTTTTCAAAAACGAACAGATCTTTTATACTTTTCGAAATACGTTCTAAAAGGAGAATAAAACTTATCTAGGACTCCTAAATCCGCTTAGAAAGGACTCGGACATTGGTAAGGCAAAACGGACGTTTCTGTGCATTTCTAGTGACCACTTTAGTAGCGTCAGCACTCTGGAATCAGCCGGAAACGTCCGTTTCGCGTTACCAATGTCCGAGTAGTTTCAACGTACTAAATGAGTTTTTTCTCATTGGAGCGAACTTTGTACTCCCAAAAAAGCCTACCACTTACCCGGGCAGACGAAAAGGAAAGTGAAGAAGGATTTGCAAAGGTGAAGATTTTGACAAGTGAGGGCGTTCCCTGAAATCGTTGTAGCCGCAGAACAATATATAATTACAGAGTTTCTTTGTCTCTCCTTTTCCATACTATTTCCCCCGGCCGACCTATAATTTAATGTTCGCTTCGTTGAAGAATACCGTGTTCGGGCGACTTGCAGGTAGGTTCCGCCCTCTTCAAAAAAAAAAACCAAAAGGAACAAAACTTTATTGCGTGAAATTTGTGAGGTGAGGTTAATAAGTGAAAAAAAAATATGATGAGATCAAAAAAAGGCCCGTTGAAATGAGATAAAAAAAGAAGGGCAGTTAGAAAGTTATATACATCAATTTTTCATAGGAAATCCACTGGTGGTGTTTTAATATTCGGATTGGGGAATTTGGATGAAGGTAAATCGACTAGACAACATTTCGGCGGCACTCCCATCACGGCCATCGCTGAGGTGGCTTTCTGGAAAAATATAGAGATTTTAAAGGGTCCAAAAAGCCGGAAAACGCGGTTTTAACTGATAGAAGCACTCTGAAAGAAGTAAATTTTAGCCCCCCTGACACGTTTCACCTACAGTACTCCAAACTAAAGTAATACTACAGTAATCCAAGGTACCGTAATACTACAGCGATACCGTCTTAATGTAGTATTACCGTAGTACTGAAAAATATAAAAAAATACTAAGGTATTACTGTAGTCTAACTATAGCCTTACTGTAGTATTACTGTAGTTTGGAGAACTGTAGATGTAACGTGGCGGGAGGGGGAGCTACACTTCTGAACTAACTTAAGACCTCCAGAGTGGTCCCTATAGGGGCAACCTTAGGGACACTTTATCAACCCCTATAGGGTGCAAAAAAGTTTTGAAAGCTAATGGGTCAAACCTGAACCCCTATAGGGACCACCTCAATTTAATCCCTATAGTGACCACTTTTTCGACCCCTATAGAGGTTTCTTTCCCCCTAACCCCTATCGGGACCACTCTTTAATTCCTAAGAATTTGCAAATTTTGAATTTCCTACGTTCCTCTACAGGTTCAAAGCTATAGAAAAAGCTAAAAAGCCCCTCAAAAAAATTCAAAAATTTTAAAACTAAATGACTAATTTTCCCTATTTTGAGCTCAAAATTTGTCTCTTTAGTCTTAAAGTTGTGTTAAAAATTGAAAATTCGAAAATAAACACATATTTTCCAAATTCCCAATGGACTTTTTTCCAAAAATACCTCAAAAAAAACCTGATTTTTATCATTTTTCAGCTGGATTCTGGAAAAATTTGACACAAGACTCCACTATAACTTTTTTGAACTTTACACCTTTTTATACCTTTTGTTTTTCGATCCCTAACAAAAATCATTCCCTCACCATGGCTTTATAGGCGTTCTTCTCCATGTCCTTCTCTATTCTCGCATGTTTCAAAAGCTTGAATCGAAGGCGTCGTTCGAACCAACTGAAGAATTCGTTTCGATACAAGAAAGTAACATTTAAAATTACATATTCTTCCCAAAGGTGGCTAGCGAGTTGGTGGCCGAGTTCAGGACGACGAGGAAATCGGAGACTCGAACCATCACCGATAGAACCAATCCGAACGATTCGATTCCGTAGAGGTTTTCGTAGACGTCGAAGAAGACCGGCATTGATCTGAGGAAGTTATGGATGGTAAAGAGAAAAATCAAAGTGATCCCTCTAGTGGAGAGAACGAAGCTTTGATAATCATCGCTTAGAAGAATCTACCCTTAAGCGACCACTTCAACTGGGAAACCTTTTTTTCTTCTGGAATCAGGAGGTCCTAGATCACTAAAGGGGTCACTAGAGTCATCAAAAATGACGCAGGGCTAAAAAAGGTTCCCTTATAAGTACTCATTTTGAAATAAACGCCTCAAGTACTCATTTTGAAGACCCCTTAAGTGCTCATTTTGAAAACCCCTTAAGTATTCATTTTGAAGTAGACCCCTTAAGTGCTCATTTTGAAGTAGACCCCTTAAGTACTCATTCCGAAACGTTCCCAAAGGAAAACTCCTTAAGTTGTTTCTCAAAAGTTCCCTCCAGTGACCACTTCTTCCAAACGTAAATTTGATAAAAATTAAACCAAGAATTTTGAGAAAACGCTTCAAAATCCCTAGAAACGCTCTACATGTGACCTGATGGACTTCTAAAAATAAATTTCCAAGTAACTACTCAAAAGGCTCCTTAAGTGTCCCCTTCAAACATTACTTCTTTACTTCCAAGTTCAAATATCCGAAAAAAAAGCAAAAATTCGTCTTCTTTCAGATCCACAGTGCATAAAAAACTTCTCAAAGCTAAAAAAATGTTCAAATTATACAACTCCAACCTCAAAATCAAGAACTTGACAGCGATAATGATGCCGACGGTTCTCGAGATCCGTTCCTTGAGTTCTTCAGTTTGGAGTAGGGATTGACGGCGTCGTTGGCTTTCGAATAGTCTGAAAAATCCAAGCTATTCTCAATTTTCCGAATATTTGAAACGCCACAGAATGGCTCTAAACTTCTTTGTGATAAAAAAAGAGCTCAAGTTTTTTTTGCCCCTACTTTCAGGGGTTTCATTAGCATGCTAGAGAATACAGTCTAGCGCAAGTAGTTTCCGGTCTGTCGCGCCATTTTTCCCGACTTTAAACGCGAAGAATGGTTCAAAAGTCGCCTCTTTCAATGTTCCAGAGATCGGCTTAGCGCAAGTAGTTTTTGGTCGGTCGCAAAAGTAACCGTCGAGCCCAACTAACTTCTTCCTGGCGATCCGACTGGCTTTCAGAAAGGAAAGCGACCTAGCGCAAGTAGCTTCTGGTCGGTCGCAAACGTAACCGTCGAGCCTTACTAACTTCTTCCTGGCGATCAGACGCGTTCAGAAAGCTGCCTAGCGCAAGTAGTTTCTGGTCGGTCGCAAAAGTACTCGTGGCGATCCGACTGACTTTCAAAAAGCGGCCCAGCGCAAGTAGTTTTTGGTCGGTTGCAGAAGTAACCCCCCAGCCTAACTAAATTCTTCTTAGCGATCAGGCCGGCGTTCAGAAAGCTGCCTAGCGCAAGTAGCTCTTATCGGTCGCAAAAGTACCCGTGGCGATCCGACTGGCTTTCAGAAAGCGACTTAGCGCAAGTAGCTTCTGGTCGGTCGCATAAGTACCCGTGGCGCCCAACTAACTTCTTCCTAGCGATCAGACTGGCGTGGACGTGATACTCGGTGACGACGGACAAGAAGAAGATCATTCCGACGGGGCCGATCGTCTGGGTCAACGTCATCAGGATCGCCTTGTATCTCGCAAACTGAAGGAAGCTCTTGAGTTATGGAGATGACCAAGACGGTCAAACCGTGTTGCGGAACTCGGTGGGTGCCGGATTCGAGGCGACGACTTGGTGGAGGACGTCGAAGCATTCGACCATCGTGAATTCAAAGTAGAGGGGGATGTTGATGATGAAACTGCACACGACCACGGCGCCTGAAATGGATATTTAGTAAAGGAAAGAAATCATGGCCCAAAAAGATCTACAGTAAAAATTCGAAAATTCAAGGTTTCAGGATCTTGATGACGTCATTCTTTCGAGAAGAACTTTTCTGAGTGACGTCATAACTCTCGAAAGCTTCTAAAAGCTTCCAAGAAGGTCAATATTACCGTATTATGACGTCATTTTGACTCCAGAAGGTCAATATTACTATATTATGACGTCATTTTTGGGTCTAAATAAGGTAAAACTTCTCTTATGAATCAATAACAGCCTTAAGAGCTTTAAACAGTGAAAATTCAAAAATTCAAGGTTTCAGGATCTTGATGACGTCATTCAGAATAGGACGCTTTTGAGAAGAAACAAACATTTCTGAGTGACGTCACAGTTTTTGAAGGCTTCTAATAGCTTCCGAGAATGTCAATATTACCGTACTATGACGTCATTTTGACGCCAGCAGGTCAATATTACCGTATTATGACGTCATTTTTTGACCTGATTCAGATTCAACTCTTCCTAGAAGTCAACAAAGACCTTTCGAATCTTCAAAAACATCTCAGTCTTAAAAATTCTATTTGAACTTCATTCAAGTCCCTCAAAAACTACCCCAGAGCCTTCTGAAGCTTCATGACGTCATAACTACCTTTTTTGGAAGCTCATACCTTTGAAACGCTTAGATGTCCTAGTCAACATGCTTCAAGGTAATTAGAAGCTTCGGCCCCATTTCTCAGCCAAAAATACCTTTCCAAAACTCACCAGGTAGATAATAAGGCCTAATCAGCTTCCTCAGGGACAGCCTCATGCTGGCCCGGGAGCACTGCCGAGTCAAAGGCCGATCGAACGATTGATTCATCGGCGAGCCGGATTTGTACCGAACGCTTCCCTAAAATGATCATTCTAGTCTTCAAGTGTCCACTTGGGGGTTACCATAGTGGAGGACACGAATTTCATGGGTCGGAAGACGACGAGAAACCGTAGGAAGGAGATGTAGACGACCAGGAGCGTCTGGGAAGTGATAAATCTTGAAATTTTTATCAGAATATGCTCTAAAATATATTGTAACGTCGTCATTGAGAAGTTTCCAATTTTTGACTTTTAGGAATAGATTTCTTCCCGATGTAATCATTAAAGGGACCACTTTAGGGGTTTAACGTTTTAGTGGCCACTAAAGGGGTCGAACTAGTGGCTAAAGTTACTGCCTTCTTTAGAAGTTGTACTATTACCTCGCTAAAAACTACTTTAGTGGCCACTTAGACGCGAATTAGTGGTATTAGTGGTCACTTAAGTAGTCGAATTCATGACCCCTTTGTATGAATAGGACTACAAGACCACTAAAACTACTATAGTGGCCACTGGGACGCAAAATGGTGGTTTTAGTGGTCACTTTAGTAGTTTTTTCATGGCCACTTTGTATGACTAGTACTACTATCTGCTCAAAACTACTATAATGGCCACTTGGACGCGGAATAGTGGCCACTTTAGGGTCTTTCAGGGACCTCTTAAGAGACCACTATAATTTTTCTCATAAGAGTGTAAAAAAACAACGAATTTCAACCTTTTTTTTGCCTTTTTCTGACAATGAAAATGATTATTATACTAAATTTCCATTTATTTACAAAATGCCATCCTTGGTATTTTTTCATTGATTGGAGGGTCAAAAAATCTACCGAACAAGTCGTGAAACTGATGGTCAAGGCGTGCATGATCAGCATCAGGGCTTGCTTGTCGAACATGATGTTGTAGTTGAAGAACAGGACGGCGGTAGCCTCGATGGATTGCTTGAGCACCACCGACACCATCAGCAACGAGTCAACCGCGCAGAGCGTGAACAGGGCTGGAAATTTTCTCAGATATCCAAAAGTATTGTCGCCAAAGTTTGCGCCATGGTGGTGCGCATTGGCGCACATCCCGTGATTGTTTGAATAGTTTCATGTGTTCTTCATGTCTTTTTCTCAAGTTTCGTTATGATCGGTCCATTTTAACAGAAATGGCCTCATCGAGTTGCAATCGTGTAGATAGCTCAACTGGTAAGGCTCTCGTTTTAGAGATAGGAGGTCGCTGGTTCGAGCCCTTTCCAGGGATAATCTTTTTCAGGAAACGTTTTTGTGCTTCAAAAACCCCTAGAAGGCTTTCTAACCGAATTTTTTGAAAAAAAATGGGGCTCAAGGCTAGAAAAAGGCTTGAATCTTTGGTATAATGCTTAGGAAAAGGCTACCAACTTCTCCAGGTGTAGATAGCTCAACTGGTAAGGCTCTTGTTTCAGAGGCAGGAGGTCGCTGGTTCGAGCCCTCTCCAGGGATATACCGTTCAAAAACTCTTTCTAGGTTTCAAAAAAGGCTAAATGAAGACTTTTTGCAAAAATTTAAGGTTTTAGGAGAGAGAAAGGCTTGAATCTTTGCTATAACGCTTTGAAAGCTGCAAATTTGTCCTGGTGTAGATAGCTCAACTGGTAAGGCCTCTGTTTTACAACCAGAAGGTCGCTGGTTCAACCCCTCTCCAGGGAAAGTTTTTTCAGAAGTTTTTTGGCTTCGAAAAAAGCTAAATGAAGGATTTGTGGTCAACTTTTTGTGAAAATTAACAATTTCAAGTAAGAAAAAAGCTTGAACCTTTATTATAATGCTTTGGGAAAGTACTGAAACTTCAAAAAATCGAAAATTTTCTATCCCGAACACTTTTTTTCAGACTTTCCGGGTTTTTTGGACCTTAGGTACACTATGTTTGACATCCAAGGGGTAAGCGAAAAAAGTTTTCAAAAAAACCTCAGGAAACAATTTTTTCATGTGCACTATCAATTATTGATTCAAAGACAAAAAAACGCCAATTTTTTTCAATTTTTTTCTTTTTCACAAACTTCCTACCTTGAGCCCCTAGAAAATCATCTTCAAAGCCTACAGTAAACCTCAATTTCCTCAAAATCTTCTTCTTATCATCTTATGTTTTCCCCCCAGAACCTATTTCCTCTTGAAGCCAAACAAAAGACAAAGTAAAAAACAAAAAAATTAAATGGCTCGAAAACAAAATCGGGGAGCCATTGTGCATAATCGGATTTATTTCCGAGTCAGGAAAAAAAAAATCTAACCAGCAGTGAGTTCTCGGTTGAGGCCGGCCGTTCGGAGGAATTTGACAGCAAAGTGCGCTCCAACGAACGACAAAACCGCCGCGACAAGTGTAAAGGGTCCCTGAAGGGAAATTTTTGAATATGTAGGAAAAAATCGGAAAATTTGGCTTTTTCATGATGTTCGTTCGACCATTATTTTGAAAAAAAATTTTTTTAAATACTCTTCAAGTGCGCTCTAACGATTTCCTACCTTCAAAAAGGTTCTTATTTGACAATTTGAAATGATTTTTCCGTTTTTCCTAGAACATCCCCTCAAAAATCGACATTTTCTCCATCCCTCTCTGTCCAAAACCCTCCAAAAAACGGCTTAAAATTGGAATTATTAAACAGTTTTCCAAAACGCTTCAATGACGGAAGTGCAAAGGCCATCATGCAGTTTGAATAAATTAGCCGCATTATGACATATTTGTCTGCCTTTTTTCAGAAACTCACATCGATCCAAAGAGCTATGGAAGTGAAAATGTCTTGATCCGAGTACCGATAGGAGCAATTGTACAGTTCCCGCATTATTTGAAGAAAAAAAAGGAATCTGAAAAAAATGAAAAAAAATATATATATAAAAAATCAGAAAATCGAAAACTTCTCGCAAAACTTCTAGAAATACCATGGTCGCATTTGAAATGGCTCAAGTGTATCGAAAGATCGTATTCAGACCGCAACGCGACGCTTCGAGCCATTCCAACTGCGACCAGGGCTTTGAAAATTGGTAGGATGAAAATTTAATGACCAAAGATGGAATTAATAATAAGCCTTTGAGTCTGTTTTTGACGATAAGCCCTTAAAAGGAGAGGCGTGGATCATCTTCAAAAAAGGTGAATTTGAGCCATTCCAACTGCGACCAGGGCTTTGAAAATCGGTACAAAGGAAGTTCAAAAACCAAAAATTGAATTTTTAATAAGCCTATAAGTCTGTTTTCGACGCAAGTTCATTAATGAGCCGTTTAAAGGAGCATCTTTGAAAAAAAAAAAAAAACTATTGAGCCATTCGACCACAGTCCTTCAAGTCACACCCGAAAAAGTATCAAGAGAGTGTCTCATAGAAAAAGCAAATGAAATGAGTCTATTTGGACGGTAGTTCGAATATAAGCAGTTTAAAGGCGCAGGGCGTGGCCTATGCTCCTTTAAAGCCCCAGAAAGGTGTCTTGAATGAGCTTTAGTGGACTTGATGGCTATGAAAAACTTTGAAATATGATTTTTTTTTAATTCAAAGGGAAGATAAAGTAGCAAAAAGCCCTGTTTTTCAATTATAGTTCACTGATTAGAAGCTCAAAAAGTGCAAAAATATAATCATTAAAAAAAAATTTTAACCCCCAAAAAGCAGCTTTGAATGAACTTTAGTGGACTTGATGGCTATGAAAAACTTTAAAAAATTGCTAAAGGAAAGAAAAAATAGCAAATACACTTGTTTTCAACAATAGTTTATTGATTAGAGGCTCAAAAAGCGCAAAATTTCAAAAATTCGAGAATGGACTATACTAAATTCGACCGCAAAGGAGGAAGAATTCCAAGGCAAATAGAGAAGATCTACGTGATTCCAACGCCTTAATTTGAGTTTTAATTAACGAAGAAGACAAGAATAGTCGACGTGGTTGAATGAACTTTCAAAAATAAGGAAAAAGCAGGTGGTTTTGGAAATGTTCTTTGTTGCTGATTTTCAGGTTTGCAAGAAGTTTTTCAGAGACCTTTTTTTCAAACCTACTTTAGCAAGGGGTTTATGAAGGGTCCTCTCTAGGGATCACTTTACCAGGCCCTATAGGGACCACTAAAGCTTGCAAAAGTGGTCCCTATAGGGGACACGAAGAAGAAACATTTCAAGAAGCATCTTCATGCGAAAAACTTAAAAGATATGTGTTTTGAAATGAAATTGAAAGATTCCTATAGGGACCACTTAAGCTTTTGGGGCTAAGGGATCCGGTCTTAAATCCCTATAGGGACCACTTTTCGGAACTTATAGCGGCTCATCCTTTTGAGGCAATCTAAAGGTTCAAGAAAAAAAATTCCAAAAATATTCTCCAGGAGCTTTTTTGAACCAACTGTACAGTAGAAATACAGTATGGAACTCGAAAAAATCTCGAAAATAAAGCAGAAAATTCTCCCACATGGGTTACAGTATATCACTAAATCCCAAACACACGAAAAAACATGTCTGGCCGACGATTTTATTTTATTTTCCCCCCACACCCATCTCAAATGAATCCTTATTCATCCCACTAATATTCTAAGAAAGCCGATTCTCTTTTTGGGACTTCGAAAAAAAACGAAAGTGAATAACAGCTTTCATGAAAATCGGCTTGTCGACGAAAAAACTTGAACTTTAAAAGCTAGATTCTTGTTTGAATGAAAAAAAAAAGACAAATTGAGTCAGCCACGAGGCGTTTCTCAACTATGCATCAATTCGTGCAATGAAAATTTGATTTGCAAAAAAATGAAAAAACTCGATTTTTGGCGTTTGAAAGGGGGGAAATCCATTCATAATTCGAGGTTTTGGAGATTGAAAAAAGGTACATTAACACTTGACTCATTCAAAAATATCATCTTTTGCGGAAAAAAGTCTCAAAAATTAGAAAAAAATTCGATGGATAGCTTACAAAAAACTGATTGAAAAAAAAGGAAAAAAATACTTTGACGCGAAAAATAACAGCCTTCTTCAATAAATCTTGATTAAACACGGTTCATCATCATACTTTTGGAATGAAATGAAATGAAATAATGTAAAAAGTTTCAAAAATTTTTCTCAAAAACAAAGTATGCATTTGCGCGTCGCGGTCTTGCAGAAAACCTCTCTACAGTAACCCAAATTAGTTGAAAATCGAACAAACGGTTTTCTAACTTTTTTTTCTCTCGAAAACCAAATCTAACAATGATCACCTTCAAAGATTCTACTAACATGTCTAGGTAAATCAAATTAATTAACACCTCACTAATTACTTTTCAACAACCTTGGGGAAAACCGACGCAGTTATGAATGATCACACATGGATGAATTGATGAGGAAGTGGTAGGGGGAAAAAAGAAGAGAGAAAAAACCAATAAAGCGAAGAGTCAGCTTCATCCACCCACACCAAAAGACAGAAGAAAAGGAAGAAGAAAATAAAAGGGCTCTTCATTTTTTTCGGGAGTCCAAAAAGCTCATTAGTCGAGTTTCCAGTGCTACTTTTGGGAAAGGCCAAAGTTAGAAACTATATCTATTGAGACCAAGAATGGAAACAAGACGAGTAAAATGGAATGAAATTGGCTTGATTTGAGAAAATGCTACGCAATGGACATGGATAATTGCCGTGATTGCTCTCGAGTTTTGTCGAAAAGGTGAGTCGTAGGCAAACGGCAGAAAATGATACGTTAAGAAGGTGATAATCATCGAGTTTCACGTCAAACGCAGGGGAAAAAAATACGCCCCGTCAACGAATTTTCTTCCCGTCTGAAAGGTTACTTGAAGGTTATATAAAAAGTTACTCCTAGAGAAACAATGACGCATTTCAGGCCCTTAAATGACCACTTGAGCTCGGAGAAATCTTCAAAAACCTCTGTGGATTCTTAGGATGTCCAGAGTATAGGGGCAACCTTGAGGGCCACTTTACGAACCCCTATAGGGGTCACTAAAGCTTCCCATAGTGATCGCTATAGGGGAAATTCTAGTCGATAGTTGATATGAACTCTAAACGAAAAAGCAATGACCCTAAACCCCTATAGGGACCACTTTTGCCACCCCTAGAAGGACTGTTTTCCTCCCTAACCCCTATAGGGACCACTCTGGGATTCCTAAGGAAGTGAGCCACGTGACAAGCTTTCAAAGGAATCAAAAAACTAGAGACTCTACCCCTTGAGTGACCACTTGAACTTGAAGTTCTTTGGAAACTCTCAAATTAAGACTTCTTTAGGTCTCTGGAGAGTTGCGCGGTCAGAAATTGGAAGAAAGGGTAAAAAAAATAAATAAAAGATTGGCCCTTAAATGACCACTTGAGCTTGGAAAATACTGTCCCTAGATGCTTTTTGAAGGCTAAACTGTATAGAAACTAAATATGAAGGAGTTAAAGGAGTTATAGAATTACAGCCCTCTGGGGACCACTTGAGCCTGAAAGGGGCCTGAAAATTCTTTAATTGATGGACTTTTAATAGTCCTATAGTTCATAGAAGTTTTTTTTTCGAATTTTCTGAACTATAACTGACGAAATTTGAAGTGGGCACTTAAGGGAATTCGGAATCTGAGTTTGAAGTAGACACTTAATTTGGAATTTGAGTTTGAAGTGGGCACTTAAGGGAATTTGGAATTTGAGTTTGGAGTGGGCTCTTAAGCGGACTTCGAATTTGAGTTTGGAGTGGACACTTAAGGGAATTTCGAACTTGAGTTTGAAGTGGACACTTAAGGGTGTTTGGAATTCGAGTTTGAAATGGGCACTTAAGGGAATTCGGAATTTGAGCTTGAAGTGGGCACTTAAGGGAATTTGGGACTCGAGTTTGAAGTGGGCACTTGAGGGAAATTTCTCGGGTGGTTATTTTAAACTTTCACGTCTCAGGTGAAAAATACGAGGTATATCCAGTAATTTTCTGAACTTTACAAATGAAAGGTATAGTTAAGAACTGCTACAAACTATATGGGGAAAGCCTCCGAATCGAAATGTGTATTTTTGGACCAAAAGAAGACTTTTCAAGGGATCTTTAATCATCAATCTCCTACTTTCGATGTAATTTCGGGGCTTACATAGAAAATTCGAAGCTCAGAGACCGGATTTATACGTCGACAGAAAAAAATGATGAAAATTATTACATTATCCGAAGAGAGAAGCCTTTTATTGCCACATTTTGAATGAATCGCTAATTAATTTGAGGCGGCCTGATGTATTTTTTTTGGGCGAAAATTTTTTTTTTGTTTTTTCTGGAGGAAAAGGCTTTTTTTCGGAGGGTTTCACAAGGGTAGTCTCAAGTTAGGATTTACAGAGTGGTCCCTATAGGAGTTAGGAGGAAAAAGCCCTTATAGGAGCCGAAAAAGTGGTCACTATAGGGGTTTAGGGTCTGATCTGAAGCTTAAATGGTTCCTTTAGGGACAACTTTAAGAACCCCTGTGAGGGTCTCAGTTAGTGGACCCTATAGGGATTTAGGGTCTGACCCTCTAAAACTTAAGTGATCCCTATAGGGGTTAGAGGTAGAAAACAGTACTATAAAGGCGGAAAAAGTGATATCTCAAGGCGGAAAAAAACAGTCTTATAAGGGTTGAAAAAGTGGTCCCTATAGGGTTCTAGTGTCTAAAACTAAACTAACTAAAACCCCTATAGGGACCATTTTTGCAAGCTTTAGTGGCCCCTATAGGGGTTTGTAGAGTGGTCCCTAAAGCGGCTTCTCGGAGGGCCCTATAGGGACCCCTTTAGAGATCCGAAAAAAGAAAAAAAAATATATTGAAAAAAAATGAAAAAATTATTAAATCGATTGACAAAAAATTTTTTTTCCAGTATTATTTTTTTTTCCCGATTTGATAGTCTCAAAAGCTTCCTATAGACCAGAAAATATCCTCAA